GTCAACAGATCAACATTGCAGGCCACCTTACCTCATCTTCAACCGCAAGTAGTCCATAGTGCAGACGCTTTTGTTGTGTAAACAATTTCGAAATCCTGTTAACGGTGGTAGCGTGAAGACGGCGCATACAAGTGTTTCATCGTTCTGACGCCTCCAAAGTAGTTCACTCACTTGGAGGTACTTAACAAACATCTCGGCCCTTTTCTGTCTAAATCTCATCACAAACAGGCCATCAAGCAACCTCCCGCACAGGAAGCTAGGAGCTGTAGCTTGGCCATGAAAGTTACCAACTTCCCGACCGCGGGGATACGTTAGCTGCCGGCAGCCAGCCAGCTTTTCACTGCTGCGCAATGTGCGGGTGCTGAGACTAGCGTCGATAATGTAATTCCAGAACGACGTCATGGTAAACATGATGGTACAGTTGCCGACAACCTTGTCTGCATTAGATATCAGTGCATTTCTACAGATGCGCTGCAAACATCCCACCAGCCTCCACGCCCAGGCCGCAATCCACACGCGAGTGCCAACGCCGACCCAGCATCGCGGTACGCACGGTGGATCTATTGCAGAACGGACATCACTCCGATGCACTATTACCGAGGCTCGGCTACCAATGACCGTCCCAAAAGGCAGCTGGAAGTCATGTGAACGAAGAAGAATGCGCATCTGCGGCGTGGTATAGACGAACACGATGCGGCGCAGCGCTGGGTCGCGATGAGACGAGCGATGGATGCGACCGTTTGCCGCGTCTGCATAAACTTTGATCAATACCCCGAATTATTTCGTGGTACTGCCCACGTCTACGGCTGGCGGCGCAAAAGAGCTACTAAGCGGCGATTGACGGCTACTTCGTGCACAACTCGGTCTCTTCTGACGTCTGCTTCGAGCAATGTATGCAACAAGAAGTATACAGAGCGCTACAGGAAAAGGCATTGCCAAGGTCCTGGAAAGCGAGTGGAACCAGGATGCTGGGCGTTAGTAAGTACGAGTCGTCAGCCTCAGCATCTAACCAGTTTGCACATCCCTTGCAGTTGTCCACAAATCTCATCGCTTCTTCCGCTTGCGCGAGCATGGCTTGTACGACCCCAATCGCGATGATTGCTACCGACGTATCGATATTCAACCATGACGCACGATTAGAGATCGATTGTGCTCACAGAAGGTTGCGTTCAACTCCAATAGTATGTCCTCTCCAAGGATCGAATGTGTTCTTGCTGTTGGCTGCACGTGAGAATGCGCGAGTACGGACTTGATTCGGCATTGGAAAACATGTAAAGCAATACGCCTCAAGGAAGCAAAAGAACTCTTTAGCATGAAGCCATGTGGCGTTTTTCTTCAACAACGTTGAGGAGCAAAATGTGATTCCTGCAGGATCTCAGCTCCGCTGCTGCAATCGAATTCTGCCTGCGGCGTAGTCCGCGGAGTACGCTTCATCTCCCTAAGGTGTTATTAGTACGCCACATCTGCATACGAGGAGAATGAGGCATGGAAAATGGGAACCTTGATCAGCGCTTTGCAACTTGGACCCATATGGCGAAACGCTGCACAGGGCCATGAGCATGCGAACCTGTCCCATTTCACACAGATGGGGCTGCTTGCGTCTGCATCTTCGTATATGCGCTTGCAAGGTTGCATCCATCGATGATTGAGCCGCAAACCCACTTTGTAACAAACAATCACACTTATGGTTTTCCCCAATGCTGCGCCATTTGGTAGCTTGGAATCATCGCACGGGTATCAATCATCCAAGCTGCTAATGTGCAACGGTAAAACTCGCCAACCCTAGCTCCTCTCCACCAGCTAATAGCCTTCATCAGATGTCGTATCGCTATCGTGCAAACACGAGTTCGCCATTAGCTACAATCCACATACCAGGACCCCCGTCTCACCATTCCCCGTACAGCAGCTCACAGGCTCAGTATCCGGTACATCCGCCTCATGCCTATTCGCGGAAAAAGCTACAATATCCCTGTCATGTCTTCATTAACGACCTCCGCTTCAAATCTCGTCTGGCCATAGACACAAGCAAGGTACCCATATGTAGTAAAGTAAGGTGCGTAAGGAAAGCTGGCATCAGATCACACTGGAGGTGTATGAGGCCTGTCTCACATTCCTCATTTTTCTTTACTGTTTACTGCAATAAGTAAGTCGACGGAGAGATGTTGAACGCTGCTATTGGAACCCCAGTAAGATATTGCAGTCTTGGAGATCGGGGTGTGGTATTTCGATGTGCGGTATTGCGATAATGGTGGTGGTGAAGGTTTACTAGCTGCGTCGGGTTCGATATATGGTCTCGGGAAGGTCCGACATGGGATCTTGGAATGGAAATCTTGGTAGGTAACGTGCGCACGTGTCAGACACGAGAAAAAAAAAGACTACCGAGAGATCAACGGTATCAGCTTTCTTTTGCGACAAGAACGGCGGAAAGGCTACTTCTAGATCCTGGGCTTATGCACAATGCTCTGCTTTTGGATCAACAAGCATTATCGTTTTCTAATCCGATACGCAAAAGAATGTTTTCACACGCGACATAGATATTCGGAAGAAACGGTAGTCCTTAACGTTCTCGACCAAGATCTACTCACACACCAAAAATCGAAAACGTGTTGCTTCTGGCATGCGATGCAATGCCACGTGTGTTGTTGACTACTATGCACTTCAATACCCAGTGGTATGACGAAAACTTTCCTTCATCAGCCCAGAAGCTCGACCACCTAGGGATTGCCGCCGTAAGGCTAGCTTGGAGATCCGATCCTGCGACCTAGGGCGGGTTGATCGAATTGGAACCTCAAAAAAATGTTCTTGGGCGAATCACTAAGACAATACCAATGAACATGATGCTAGCGTACTTTTGTCTTTCACCCCATGGCAGGATACCTCTGGGCTCCCTTCACTCACATTGCCCGCCACATGTCACTCATTCCCAATTACGGCATATAGATATACTTTTCTTACGCCCCTCGTCTTGCTCCATCTTTCTCAATCCAGCATATCGCATACACGAAACCTTACTTTACTTTTTCCTTCTCATCCTCTCGAGCTCTCCTTCGCCGATGTAGTAGTCTACCGCTCTATCCAAGATACTCACGTAATCATCCTATTTTTTCTATTTCTTGTTTACGACTCACAACCCCAGTACCCGTGTCCATTACCTCGCGCATGAATGCCGCGACTCACGCACATATGTGTCTTTCATGCATGCATGATGCCTGTTTGGGGTGTGCATGCTTTGTCACGCCGTCTTCCTTGCTTCTTGGGCGCATATTCGAAGGATGGAAAGTTTCCATGGTGTTATGAGTGTTATTACTATACGGTAAAATAGGACGGAATACTTGGCCGTGACTAGTTCCGTCAGCTTATTGTCAGCCTCACTGCGACAGATTGTTCGCTTGTTGTTGTGGAGTCGATTTGCCGGGATAGATGCGTGGACAGTGCAACCAGAGCGAGCCGAGAGAAGAGAGACCCATCCATGTCTTAACCACGTGTCGGTGCTTCCGAGAAGGCTGAAGAGCGGGTAAGCGGGTATAGGATTACTTGTTCAGTAATTTGGAGGGTTTAAATTGTTGTTGTTGAACTAACGTTTCATATTTGATAAGTCGTAAAGATACGTTACGCAACACTGGCATGGTAATGCCATGACCACATGCATACAGGTGTGTTTTCGCATCTGGGTGTTGCGCAGGAAGACACTGCTCCCAATCGCTTGCCGATTCACCTACCACCAAGACTACATGAATCAGTTGTTCGCACATCGTGGGTAGTGATCGACGCTGTCACGCGCATTGCTGCCCTATAGCCTGTCCACGACACGGTCTTGCTGAAGTGATTCACTCGGTCGCCCAAGTATAGCTGCACTGAATTTTCTTCAGCGAGCGTGCACACCTTGGTACTGCAGTCTCGACTCAATTTGGATGGCTTGGATGGCGACGTGCGGCTCCGCCGGCACTCTAATCTCATCACAACCCTCCTCCGATGAGACCGTAAGACCGCCAGATCAACGATATGATGCCTTGCACAGACTATGATGACGCGCATGCTGACATGACCCTTCGCATCGAGGCGTTCATGTGTGCTATCGAATATCTCTTGGGGTATTGCCTGTGTTGCTGTCACGCAACGCTGTTCGCGGGCCGAGGAACGGCCTTGACGGGCCTTCTTCAGGGCAGCTCCTTGTTCTAGGCTCGGCGATATCGAATTTCCATGACTTGCATATGAGGGTATCTTATCCCTTGACTGTGAAAGGGTCCCTAGAAACATACATCGGAACTTTTTGCCGGTACACATGGGGTAGGTAAGGTCGGTCACGGGGACAATGTTCACCGCGTCTGTAGACCGGCGTAGTAGCTACATTCGCAGATACCTCGGATGCAAAGAAATGCCTATCTAGGTATAAACGATCGTCTTGATCGTGCTGAGCGCGTTCGACTCGGATACAACAGTAAACATTGCCGAGCGATATGTGAATTGAATCGCGGATGTGTAGCGTGACTATGAAAGTTACGACTTGGGAACACCTTGTTCCATAGTGCTCTAGCTAACGCAACACAATGGAGTAGCATCTTGAACGAGGTATGATCCATAGTGACACCTATATGGGCATACGTGCTCAAAATGTCACTTTCGAGCATGGATCTTGGGGACTCACGGTCCATCTTTGCTATCATGGCACGTAAACCCGCAGAGTGAGATTTTGAGTCCAAAACCTGAACGAGGCACCCAGCAAGCGCCGCGTTCTTTCTGTTATGCCGCCGACATCCAAGATGACTTGTCAGCAATGCACTAGAAGTGTTGGAGTAATGCGCCGAGGCCGATGTAGAACACGACCAGTTTCGTGCACATGGTGAAAACAAGCGCCCATGTTGTCGAAGGAGATATTGACGGACGTGACAACGAATATCGCCGCGGATAGCTCGTAGCTGGGTTCTGGGAGTTGCTCTTGTACAGCTTGTACTCCATTCGGAAGCTGATGTTTAAGAACAGCTATTGGAAAGGGCGTGGGTTCATTGCATATCCATCTCGTCATCGTCATAGTCGGCTGTACCAGCGTAACCGTTTTCTGCCTCCTCTCTGTCTCGGTCTTTGCGTTGCTGTTCTCGCGACGCTGCAATCTTCCTGTTGACGGTTAGTACCAACCTTCTGATGCTATGCATGATACGCACCTCAACCCATCAATCACGCCAGTAATGAACGTCCTTCCTTCTCCTACCTCCATACCTCCCACACCATTCATTTTGAAACCGCCTCCTGCATCCAGTACTTCTACACCGCTTCTGAGCTTGGCCATTCGTACTTCCCTCAGGCCTCTTAGTAGTTTCCGTACGTTGTCTGGCTCCTCGAAGTCGTCCGACGCTGTTTCGAGCAGCATTTCGCCCAGCTCAAGCCAGTGATATGGCAAGGCGTCTGGTGCTCCTCCTGCTGTCGAGTTGGGTAGGAACGGTGGGGAGATAGGGAGTGTATTGTTCGAGGGCTGTGATGGTAGTCGGGGTGGTGGGGAGAAGGTCTCGGCGTATTCGATTTCGTGTTCGAGGATGGCATTGAGAGAGTGCGTGTTAAGCCATGGCGGTGGAAGTATGTTGGCGCGGCGCTGTCGCTTGAGCAGGAGAGCTAGCCACAGAGGAATGTCTGTTCGGTGCGGAGGAACGAGGGGTTCTATGGGTCCCTATGGTTGATCAACATAAACAACCTATACTCAATACACATACACAAGCAAGCAAGCATGGCGGGGTGGAGGGGCACACCTACGCCGAGAAGCTCCAATCCCTCAAGTCTCTGCCGCGGTATGACAGTGACGAGCTCCATCTCGCACAAGAACGCTATCTCGGGGGGCGTCAGCCCCGGCGGAAGAGGTAATGCCATGTTGCAACGCGTAATATCGGAGACTCCAAGTTGTTTGTCCAAGTTTTGAGATGCGCGACGCGCCCGGACCGCGGTAAGCTAACTAAATCAGGATCACCCGCATCTTTCAAACTGTCCACTGACATTTGACACCATTCTTTCTCCTAGACGATTGCTTGAGCAGTCAACCAAAGAAGACTGATGCCTCTATTACTCGAGGCGTGGGCTTTGCCCAGCGCCATTGTATTCATTGTGTACATCACCACTCTATGGTATGCAGAAGTGCTACATGAAGTTCCAAACCCTTACCTGGTATGTACCACCAACATCGACGTGTTCTAATACTGACCGAATACGAGGATGAGTACTTCCATATCCCCCAAGCCCAGAAGTACTGCAAAGGCGACTACTCATGGGATCCGAAGATCACCACTCCACCTGGCCTGTACGATTGCCTACAACACCTGCTGGCCGAACATGACTAATGATTGATCAAAGCTACTTGGTCTCCAAATTATCGAAGCCATTATTGGGCTGCGAAACATCCTCCTTGCGCCTTTTGAACGCCGAAGCTCTTTGTATCATCATGATTATGAGTTATAGTATTCTGCGTCTACTTCGAAAGCGTCAGAACCCAGGCAAGAGCTTGCAGGAGCACGAAAACAGTGCAGAGCGCGACTCTGCTGTGAGAGACCATACCTTCGTGGTTGACGTTCACTCCGCTCTTAACATTGCACTCTTCCCCCCTCTCTTCTTCTTCTCTGCGTTGTACTACACAGATGTGATGTCAACTCTGGCGGTATTATTCGCATATAGCGCATACCTGACGAGTTCTATGTCAAAGCGAACTATTGTGGGAATGATCAGTACAGTAGCACTGGGAGTTTTTGCACTTCTGTTTCGACAAACCAACATCTTTTGGGTGGCTGTGTTCCCCGCTGGGCTTGCGGTCATCGAAACACTGAAGAAAGATGCGCCGGCAACTTTCTCAACAAGTTCAGACCTTAGGTCAGCTGTACAGACCAGTTGGAACGATGGTGCAATCTATGACAGTCATGTTCAAGACGCGGGCCTCCATGGTACGTCGCCTCGTATTCAGCTATCAGGGTCGATATTAATGTATTCCTAGATGTTGTCATGTTCCTGCTGTCTGTGGTGGTTGCAGCCTTACGGAAACCTTTGATCGTACTCAAGGTCACCTTACCTTATATCACCCTTCTATTTCTGTTCACTGAATTTGTAATCTGGAACGGCAGTGTTGTCCTTGGTAAGAGTAGAGTACGTCTTTGTATGGACAAGAGCTAACATTGATAGGGGACAAATCAGCCCACACGGCTACTATTCATCTTCCTCAGATGCTCTACATCTGGCCTTACATTATGTTCTTCTCGGCACCACTATTAATTGGCCCCCTGCTCAGACCTGCTGTCACTTTCTTACCGAGACGTCTCCAGACATTGTGCCATGAACATCTCAACATCTCTTACTACGGAATCCCGACAACTGCAACGACTGCGTTCTTCATAGCCGGCAGCTTCCTTGCAGTCAATTTCAATACCATCATTCACCCGTATACCTTAGCCGACAACAGACACTTTGTTTTCTACGTCTTCAAGGTGCTTCGACTATACCCCACATTGAAGTACCTCGCAGTACCAGTATACTATATATGTGCATGGACTACTGTTCAAGCGCTTGCTTCACCACCACAGCCGGTCTCGCCTGAAAAGGAGCAAACACCAATGGAGAAAAGTAAAGCCAGTCTTACAAAAGACAACGCTGGTCGCCCTACTTGCCAGATAAGCTTCGTCATTGTGTGGCTAGTGACCACTGCGCTCTCACTCATTACTGCTCCACTAGTAGAGCCTCGTTATTTCATCATTCCATGGATAATCTGGCGGCTACACGTACCCTGCAACCAAGCTGTAATGTCGAACAGCAGAGGGCTTGACGTACGTATGGTCTTGGAGACTGTTTGGCTGCTCGCTATCAATGCGGCTGTCTCAAATACTTTCTTGTATCGTACATTCACGTGGTCCAGTGAGCCTGGTAACTTGCAGAGGTTCATCTGGTAGAGCTGGAACTAGGACCATAGAGAGGCTGTCGAATGGTGAGCTCTAGTAGCAATACTAGTCCTTTGAAAATGTGAAACACGTCCAATCAAATGCAATGTTGTTTTCATGATTTGCAAAGCCAATTATAAGGGCACACTTCTATAGTTCTTAACATCATCGTAGTAATTCCTGTCTCTCTTGTCTGCATTCACTCGGGTGGACTCACACGGCCGGAATTCAAGGAGCTATTTCTCAGACGAATGTATCATTTGACGTGCTCTTGTTAGCACATCCGCTTTTACACCTTCTGCTTACTCTAGATTAGTGTTTCCTTCTACCGTGGCTCACACCGATAAGTCTAACGTACCCTGGTTCTTATAGGTGAATCTTTTCATCGGTATAAGAGTTTACCCACCACCAGATTAGCTCAGCAAACCAGCAGCTAGGACACTCCATTATTATGCCGACAAAGTTCTCTATTCATCATGAGTTACTTGACAAGCACGCCGTGTGTTGCATGTAGTCCAAGCCTTCATGGACTTACCGAGCTATCAAACGTTACACACAGAAAACCTAGGACATCATGCAGAAGGTGAGCAAGTGGCTACAGAAGTCCCTGTTACTTGTTTGCGTATGGAATAGGAAGCTCATCTCTGAGCAGCAGGGTGAGCGATTCGATGCGAGTGAAGCGCCTGCTGGTAAAGATTGTCTTTCTCTATCACGTGGTCCTCTCAAGGAGACTGAAAGATCGTAAAGCTAAAACAAATGTACTTTGCGTCCATTTTACGTGTGGTTTGCATAGCTGCAACTAGAACAAAAACAAGAAGAGGTACAACAGGCACCTCGATTCGACATGCATGTCATTATGTAATTGTACACAACTCTTGAAAACATGACCATGTTACGGAATAACAAAACGCCCTTCCAACTCATCCAGATATGTCGTCTTCACTAGTTCTGCATCCCCAAGTATGTTTTGACGACCCGTTATTGCCTCTTGCCACGACCCTCCACGTTGAACCCGACCATATGCGCCCGAGCCACTATGCACACAAACTATTGGGTGATGGCAGCTGCTGCGCGCACGTTGCATCCTGGTACCTCTCCTAGTTGTTGCCGTGGTGTTGCTCACCACCCATTGTCAACCTCAGCACGAAGTTGACAATGACGGCTGCAAACAGCGCAATCGTCAGAATGGTAGGACCCAGTCGGTCGTCGAAGCCGCCCTGGCCCCTTAGCCTTATGCTCCTTGCGCGCCAGTGGAAGGTGAACAGGGCGTAAATCATGGCCATCATGGCAACGAGAGTGAAGAGGCCGGCGGAGATCTTGCCAATCTTGTCGCCGAAGTTAAGCAGGCCGATTGCGAGGCCGCCGAGGATGACGGTGAAGTTGAGCCATGAGAGGAAGGTGCGCTCGTTTGCGAAGAAGACTTTGGGCTCGACGCGCGTGGGGAGAGCAATGCGCTTGCCTGGAGGAGAGTGTTAGTATGCGTTTTGGGGGGCGGAGCGAAGGACGCGACGCACCGGGAGCGGTTTGGAGAAGCGGTTGGGTGGACATGACGATGGTGGTGATGGTCCCGCTGATGTTGCGACGCGAGCTTTCCAGAGGTACTTTTGGCCAAGTATTGATGCAGCTTCAGACGAAGAATCTCGTGGTAGGAACAAGGCGAGGAAAAGAAGTCTGCATCACAATGCTGTCAAAGCTCTCGTTGATGCGGGTCGCGATGGGAAACCCATGCAAGTTCACGCCTTCTCTTGGCCTATCATGTCGCCCACGTGACAGCATCGGCTCTGAGGCTGCATGCGGGGATGGCCCGGTCCCTGGGTGCCACCTGCGCACCTGCCACGTCTATCCAACGCCGGCCGCCGACGCTAGCTTTGTCCAAACACTGATCCTTGGGAGTAAACACGACATTTACGTCTCATCACACTACATTCCTGTTCGAGACATCGATAAACCTCCTGCTCCACATTTCACAACATCACTATACAGCACAGTCAACACCATGGCAGTAAGTGTCTTGCTCGGCAAGCACAAGTTATGGTATACTGACAAAGAGACAGTCCGCGTCACCGCTTCCTACCTCTGAACTGGAGCAAATTGCTCAGCAGGTACGCCGCCCTGCATGCGTCTGGATGAGGCTGCATGAGCTAACCAAACTACCCAGGCCTGCGAGCAAGCTATCGGCGCCGCTGAATCATACGACCACACAAAGGTTGGAGACTGGAACAGCGAGATCATTGTAAGTTTTAGACAGACTAGCTGGCGCAACCATGCACGCGACGTCAAACCGCCTCCATCATGTACTAACGTTTACCCTAGCAATACATCCTCAAGACGCTCATCAGCAAGACTACACCCTCATCCGAATCCTCCACCCCTGAAACTCCCTCGCAGCCTGCCTACAAGTACATCGCCAACAGCACCGTCATCCAACACATTGGCTCTCCCGCGGAACCCGACAAGCACGGTCGTCGCGGCATGCACAGCGCGGTTGGCGCCTTCTGGAACAACGAGAAGGACGGCACATACAGCTACAAGTGGGAGGCTGCCGAAAAGAAGGGCATGGACATTGTCATTACCATCACCTGGATTGCTATCTAGAAGGATAATAGCGCCAAGGGCGTTGATGGTCCCAGGTGTGAGCCATTGCATTTTCCATCCAGACGATCGAACAAGGTGGGTAGGATGCAGACTGGCCCGTATCAAGGGCCAAGCGAAAGCTACGTGAGTGGCCTCCTGAGGCTGAGGGCCGAGAAGAAAGCTGAGGCTGTTTTTTGATTGGAAATTGCTGCTCTTCTCTTCCTGGGTACGGCGTTGAAACCACAGTGTGCATAGTCTTGCGCTTCCCCTCCCCGTCGACATGGCGGAATTGATACCTACTATATTGATACTTGCTACTTCACTCATCGTCTCCTGCTATAACCTGGACGCTACAACGCATTCTCCTCACGAGCACATTAATGTAAAACAGGAAAAACACCTTCAGAATCCATGTTTGATACTTGGCAGACAAAACAGGCTTTTCCCTTTGTGTTGGAACATCTGGCATTATATGTGTTGAAAATGGTATCGGCTACTTATTCATCCGCTCGTCTACATGGATACGATCGCGTACTCTTCCTAGTCATATGGCATATCCTCCACCCCCACCCTACCAACCGTGGAAGCAGCACAGCAGAACATGGGCTCAGTACGCAAAAGTAAAGATTGACCAGCTTGACTGAGAGCAACAAAGGTACAGAGAAAAAAGGACGGAAGAAGAAGAAACAAAGGATGTATTTTAGGCATCGGCCTTTTGGCTCTCAATCGAGGTGCCTACGCCATCCGTGTGCGTACCGCTACTCCGTCCACTTGTGGCTTGCTCGCGCTTGTTGATGAGTGCCTTGAGTTCGTCTGTAGTGCTCTTGCCGCCGTTCTTCTCGGTGATGAGTCCCTTGAGCCATGCGTTCTCCGTCTGCAGTTGCTGGATGGTAGCTTCTAGTTTGGCGACCTTCTCCTGCGCTTCCTTTTGGGACTGCTCGAGAGCTTGCTCACGTTGCTTCTTTTTGATGCGGAAGCGGGCGCTTGCAGCTGTGTTGCGGCGACGCTTATCCTCTTCTGCGGCTACGCGGGCGTTCTCGTCCAGAGACTGTGGCATGACGGGAGCGACATTGTCGAGCTTGCGCTTCTTCGAAGACTGATCAAAGCCTTGGGCAACAGGAGATAATGAGGAGGCAGGTGAGGCGTAGTTGGGTGCGAGCGGGTAGTGGGTAGGCTGAGAGTGCGCCAGGGGCATGGAAGGGTCAAACGCTGGTGTTGTACCGAAGTTGTTGAAGTCGGTGAATGGGAAGTCGCCTACTAGCAGATCAAAGTCAGTCATGGCTATTCTAGACGATGATGTGCTCGAGTCGCGATGCGAGTGCGTGGTGTTCTTCGCTCAGCGGAACAAGCAGTTACGTGCTTGCAGTGATGCATGGCTGCATATATAGGCCGCCTTGTGAGTGGCTGTTGTACGAGGTGTGGGGTGACGATGCATGCAACACACAGGGCGGGGTTTGCATGCGCCTCGCCAGCCTGCTATTGGACGGAGTAATGCGAACCATGCGACAATTCAAACGGACGAGTCTCGATGGGTAACAACCACATTGACTGAAAAACGGAACAGTTTTGAACATGGAAATGTGCTTACCATTTAAATTAAAGTCCATGTTCGCGTCGGCGCTGGTGCCCGAGTTGCGCGGGAACTCTCCGTCGGTCTTCAGCGGCTGTGTTTGCTCGGTATCAAAATCAAGGCCAAAAGCACTGGCAGAAGAGAAGTCGACACTGGGGTTACGGGCGTTGTCCACGTCGAAGAACTCTCCGTTCAGGAAGTCGGAGAAGTCCTCGGTGGGTGCTGGATCGGCAAGCAGATCCTGCTGTGGCGACAGCTGGTTGAGGTTCGCGATGTACTGGGACACGTTGGGCCCTCGCTGGCCTTTGTAGGCGGACATGGGCGTATGTTTGCTATCCAGACGATGGAGCGGGAGAATCGCTGGAAGTCGTTGTTGAGGAATTGGGAGATGGTGCTCCACTCAGGCCCGATCCAATCGCGCTTGCGTGTCCGAAGCTGATTTTGCGCGGCTGGAGCCTGGTTCGACGTTTGAAATCGTTCGCTGGTTTGGTGTATAGGTTCTGTTGCACAAGCCGTTGATGAGGGTGCAAAAAGCAAGAGCAATGTGTGTGTGTGTATCGTGACGTGGATGAACGTCAAAGTGCGCAGGGCGTTCTCGATCAATGGGAGCCCCGCGGTCGGTGACTAGAGTTATTAGCGACCGCAAACCCCAGGCCGCATTTACGCCGAGCCTCACCCCACGTGTGGTTGGAGTCGCAACGGCTCCAGCTTTCGCTCTCCGAGTTCAGGGTTTCGAGATGAGAGCACTGTGAATGACTACTGCTTCCTTTCGGATTGCTGGCTCAAGGAAACTCAGCATGACTGTCGTCTTACTGTCAGCTCGTCGTATTGTTTCTACAGCAGCTGAGCATTCGTTGTTTGTAATCAGGACGTACATCTTGCCGACGACGAATCATGTTTGAGCGTCTTTGTCCGAGACTGGACCGGACACCTGAGCGGATCGCACATCCAAGAAGCGGCAATTTCCACGCGGCATATTATGCTATCTTCGGCAAGAAAAATATGATCAGTGTCCATCTGAATCTGGCAAGAATTGTAAGGGATTCCTAGCCAGCGAATGTACTGATGAGCCTCACCAGAACAGAATCCTGGTGGAACAAACGTCTCTCCGGTCTTTACCTTGGAGAGAGCTGTGAGTGCATGAATATTGGTAATACCTAATGGTTATCTATGACGGAGTGCAGCGAGACTACTGTGCACCTAGGTAGCTTTGAACCGGAAAGAATACACTACACCCATTTTCAAACGGCTCCGCAAGGACCTCAAGACTCATCCAGACGACATACGTTGATGGTGGAGAGCTTTGGGGGCAATGCATAATCTACAGGTCTGTGTTGAATGTTACAAACAACAGTTCATCGCTACGTAGACGCCCAGGTACCTGACCACCTAAGCACAATGGGGGTGAGCCAAGTCACGTGGTGGGCCCTGCTCCTCCTCGACGCGTCGCGACTCCCACTATCGATAACAGCTTCCAATCAACAACAACCGACGGTCCCTCCATGTAGACGCAGACCGCACCGACGTGATGGCGACCGCTCCCGACTATAAGAATATTCCGCACTCTCACCGGTTGCCGGTCAACCACCGCGAGGTCCAGCGCACCTTTACAAAGCTCTCTCGCCAGTCGCTCGTGTCGCTTGCGCTGCAATGGCTCAGCAAGAAAAACCGCGACTTCTGCAAGCCGTATCTGCTCAGTGATCGAGTGGATGAGGACGACGAGGAGATATACGAGCCGGCGCAAAGCTATGAAGTGCTTCAAGAAACGTACAAACAGCTAGCTGCGCGCAAAGGTGGCAGGAGGGAGGTGCTTGACCGCATACTTGAGGGAGATTGGAGACACGGCATATCCATGTACCAAATGGCAACGGCAGAGATACAGTACTTACTAGATCATCCGAATGCCTTGCGTTGGACGGCAAAGCGCCTCACAAAGATACCTAGTGCGCGATCACCAGTGACGGACATGGAAGTCACAAACGATTCAGACCATCTTCCACGATTCCAAGCGCAGACCTTCATGTCAAATCTTGCAAGAGAGCTGACGCCGCTTATGAAGGCACATTACCTGATTACACGGATAAAATCGTCGCCCATGACCATACTACGAGTCTACATTCACGATTCGCCGTACAGCACCGAAGCGTCGCTGACCGTCGAGTCCAGCAGCACGGATAGCGCCAAGGCTGTATTTTTCGTATGGCCTAATGGTTCGCCTTTCGTATACTCATCGCTAGCAACGCTTACCGGCCAAGTCGTTGGAGACCAAGGGAGACATCTGAGGGATATCGTGCAGCAAGCCATACCGAAAGCCTTCTCAAGACCGTCTGCGCGTTACCAGTTAACAAGTACGAACTTCACCACCAAGTCACTCGATGCCCTTTTGACGTACCGCGGGCCTGGGAAGAGCAATGCTGCAGCAGGTGGTTGGAGCATCTTTCAAGATCATAGTTTTAGTCAGAATGCACTAGACTTTATCACCACACAAAAGGGTGAAGGGCAAGACAAGATGACAGGGGAAAAGAGCAATACCAATGGTGGATCCAAAGCTGGACCCGGTCGACCCAAGCGACCATTGGACGACAAACAGTCTTCAGAGGCCAAACGTAGGAAAGAGGTAGCTGCTGGACGGTTCGGGACCTCAGCGCAGCCTGACGATGGTCAAGGTCTTGAGCGATTTGAAGTCCGCATCGATGACCCATTTCCATCTCCCTCTAACGGCAGTACTCCGACGCAACTAGACGACGATATATCGAACCTTGATGCTCAAACTGGCAACCGTACACGGCGCGGCCGCCCTTCTCTTCTCGATAGAACCGCTAAAGATCTCGAGGAAATACAAAATGAAGAGGGCTGGGTACCGAACGTACGGGTCACGTTCCAAGGGACGCATGTGTTCGCCGGTATCAGGCAGTTGGTAGAAGAAGGTATTATAGACGGTGAGAAGATGCCAGGCTGGATGACTGGTGAAGTTGGTGTCACCATAGGTTCGGTCAAAAACGGACGCATCCGCAGCAAGGATGGTATACCTGGTGTTTAGTGGGCGTGTGAACTTTCAATGTGCGGCGCTGACAGGTGTTTTTGATATCGATATACCCATTACGATGATGCGGCGTATGGCGTTCTTCTTGCTAGGCAACACGAGATGCTGTGTTACTATAGGGAGTTTGCCGTCTTGACTTTATTGGTTTCCAAGAATCAGTGCAGTGTCTCTGCTTTCGTGCTGCAATTACCTACTCTTGCTGATCTAGCATTCTGAAATCCCTTAGCGCCCTAGGTCCTAGCAGACTGTTCACACCTACAAATCATAGCTTCTTCGTCTCTCCATGCATCCTTGCGCGGGCTCTGAGCCTGGCCGAGGATAAATCACCGATGTTAACCCAAAGTTTGTCTTGTACTGCATAATTTCTTATCGAGCATGGACTCCTGCCCAAGCTCTGCCCTGTCGGCTGTTGACATCCGTTCAGGCTATCCTTCCGATTACAGATTCGGACACCGGCAATCACATCAACCTCTATTTGGCTGCTGAGCTTCACAAGCCACCCGATGGCCACTTTCATACTACTTCAATGCACCTGTCTGTGGCTCAACCGGCTCGTGCGCCTCAACTGTTCAAGCCACGTAAGGCTCCGGGGCACCCTAAAACTCTTCACAAGCCACAGCTAGCCCTAACCGGAAGGCTTCGAGTCACGAGCCGTACCCGCCTAGCCGTGAAAAACGATATCGATGTCATAATTGCAGTAGTATGCATTCGCGGCCTTGCGTTTTGAGGTTGCTGCAGGGCGCGGATTGGATGTGGCTTGCTGTGGCTGTTGCACGGTCTCTAAAACTATCCTCTAGGATTGCGTGGCGGTTGCCGATAGCCGGGTAAGGCTGACATTCGCTATCAAGGGTTAGAGGTCATGTGTTCTCGTATTTGACGTACGATAGCGGTTAACCGAACAGAAGTGAGAGTATTTCAGGATAAAGTGGGTTAGTAAGGTTCAATGCGGCTCACGGTTGGGTCAAGGGAGACGTTTGTCCCGAACCGACTACCCATACGTTGAACCAGTGACTCCACCCAAGACGCCTAGAGGCGGGAATAAGTCTTGACTGCATTCCGTGGTGAGAGTGTTGGTCTTGGCAAGAAAACAAGAGAAAGCATATATACCTCATTCACCCCCCTAGCTTGCACTGCCACATTCGATGCTACTACCATCTACAAGCATTAGTTCCACTGCCTCGACACTAGGGCCAAACACGATCCAAGACTATCCATTCCACTCCACAATCAGCCAAGACCCAAAGGTCATCACCTTCTCTACTCAGTCTCCAACCATACTGCCGATGACTGACTATAACAACCAACGCATCGACGCTCAAGACTTGACCTCAAGGCTTGTCTCGTTCGAACACCAATCCAACATCAACAACATCAACAACATCAACAACTCTGCCAAAGGCAATGGAGAAACCTCCTCCGACTCAATTCTGTCCCAGCGATGTCCCCGATCCACCTCCATCGACAGCGGCGTCATGCCCCGTTTCACCAAATCAGCAACAATGTCCACAACAGGCACCAATGACTCCCACTACTCTCAGTACTCTGGCCTCCGCGTTATGTGCGCTGAGCCTAGTTCCAAGACACATGCTGAAAGTGTTGGTGTCGCACCAGGCGAGTTCAGCAAACCGCGTGTCCACAAGCGCAGCCGCAGAGACACTCAAAGCAGTGTTGGAAGCGGCAAGAGTGCGAGAAGCGAAGAGCCAAAGGAGTTCAAGTACTATGGCCGACACAGCAACCAATGGTTGTTCAACGACTTTAGTGTCACTGATGCTGTGTCCAAAGGCTTCAAGAGAGTCTTTAGCAAAGACAACAGTGGGAAGGACTGGTATGAGGACAGGAACCGTTAAAGGTGGGGTTCAGGTAAAAGTCGTATCAAACAAAGGCTTCATCAGGCTGAGAGACAGACATACATCACACATCAATACAACCAATCACATCACCAACCGCATATGACCTTGTCGACATGTTGTGACATGCTAACTGAGCAGCTTCTCGGCAACAATACATCTACTAATATGATTCATGGGCGATATACTGTATGCAACATGTGAGTGATGCTCTAAGATGGATCGACGGAGACGCGCTCGTGACGCAACAGGAGCGCAACCTGACAAAAAGCCATCGAGAAGAGTAACAAGTTAGACTTCATGACCGTCATAGAGCGATTTGACTGCACTGAATAGAGAAAATGATCCCGTGAGATCAGGTAACATTCGCGAAGAAAAACGCCGTCGCTATGGAGAAACAGCTCATGTCGTGCCAGTCATAACGCCAATATATGAGAACGCCCCAATCATCTACATGGTATCCTAAGTCCAGCCCTAAAGCATCATACTTTTTCGACGGCTAGCTGCGCGCTCAGCTCTTAACGTACTCGTCTCCCTCCCTCCGTCTCGCACTTTGATGCCTTCGGCTCCATCAGCGTTCGCCCTTACGTCAGTCGTACTGGCACCAGCCGGTACACTTGCAGTATCGGTAAGTCTCTTCTCTTTCACGCCTGCCGTCCGAGCACTTGACGTGCCCCTAGCAATACCATTAGCACTAGTACTTCTTCCTAGACTCGAAGTACTACTACTGTTCTTCACATTTCCGCTTCCAGTGCGCTTATGCAACGAAGGGAGTGCCCCTTCAACCCTTCCCCTCTCGGCTTTGCGCTCTTCTAATGAAGTTGATGTAGAAGAGGCAGGCATAGCAGAGTGTCGCCGCGCACTTCGCGCTGCTTTAGCAAGTTCGTTAACCCGTGTACGTGGGTTGGTCGATGGGTCCGCAGGTGAGGAGTCTGTAAAGTCGAACACGGCCAAGCTGTCCTTCTCTTTCGGCTCTTGTTCAACGGCTATGGTGTCCTTATTTAGAAGAGGAAGATCTACTGACTTGGCGATGGAGAGCTCGGAGGCGGATCCTGCAGTTGATGACGATACTCTTCTCTTAGCAGTACTGGTTTCGGTGATGAGCGCGGATATGGCCTTCGAGGTTGTCGATCGCTCCTCAGGTTCAAACGACGCTGGTGATGCCCTGGAGTCTTGGTTTCTGTCGAGTTTCTGTCTCAGTGGGCTGCCTGCTTCGGCCTCTTCTTCACCTCTCGGCTGAGAGACTACCGACACGGGCTTCCAAGAGATTTCGCCATCTGCATCACGCTTGACAAGGGTTGAAGGAACATGCTGGGTCTCTACACTTGTCCTGCGATCGACCACCGCATCAACTAGCTTAGCGTCTGGACGTCGCATCTTTACGTTGAGACTGGGCTCTTTGTAACTGACTTGAGGACGCGCTCGTCTGCCAGGTCGACCTGCTTGACCGGTCTGATCTGCGGAACTGAGATCTCCCGGTGGCGGTGTATCCTTGTTATCTGGTCGTTGTGTCGACGGCTCGGTAGAAGGTGGAGAGAGAATAGTGTCCACAGCAGGTGTCTTAGGAGGTAGAGAATCGAGTATGATCTCTGCAGTAGGTACAGGTTCAGGCATGGGTATCAGCGGAAGGTCCGGGGTGGTGTTGCGTGTAATATTCAATCGAGGACGACTACGAGCTTTCGATGCTGGCTTCTCGGGCTTCTCTGGTTTCTCGGGCTTGTCTTGGCTTGAAGAGCGATGCTTCTTTGGCGACAAAATTGGATCGGTATTGACGGGTTCTATCAAGTCAGATATTGATCCTATCTTGCTTTGTATGTACTTACTAGCTGAAAGAACGGGAAGTCGCTCTAATGACGAAGGCTTGGATTCGCTACTAGATGTCTCTATGCCTGGAGCACCTGAGATATTGCGGCGACTGAATCTGAAAGCGTCACCCTTGGCTTGGCTCACTTCCTCGTCTTCCTGGACGCTGAATTTCCGCTTTGCTCCAGTACGCAGAGGCTTTGTAGCTGTCTCTTCGGCTTCTTCCGGAGATTCGAAAAGGGACACGCGACGTATGTTAAGTTTCGGCCCACTTTCTCGTCGCTTCTTACGTGTCTCAAGGTTTACCGACAACGCAGGCTCGCCCTCATCTCCAGCTTCCTCACGTTGTTCCTCTACTGCAGGACTGGGATCAAAACCAATGGGATCTTCGTCTTCGAATCGCGCAACTGGTGGAGGACCGATGTCTGGTGATTGGCTGTCCGGGTCTTCTAAAACCTGCTGAAGCTCGTCTGCACTGCGACAAGTTAGCTTCGTGTGCGTCTGCGCATGCTATTTCTAGCACGGCAATAAAGACATACCCCATTGTCCTTCGAGGATAGTATTTATCTTCTGTGATTGTAGGCAGCATGCCGTTCTCTACCTCCTGAAGACCCAATCCACTCCTCCATTGTCGCTCTTCTCCGCTCTTTCTTTTTGCCGTCATCTGGCTTTTTCGTCTTCCCGCATCCTTCTCATACCCACCTCTTGATTGCGATAAACCTGCTACCAAGCTACCGAGCTCTGAGAGCTTGGCTTCAAGCTGTGTCTTAACAACATCAATCTGATCGAGTGCCGGACGCGACTCAATAGTGTTGTGAAGGTTCAGGACCTGCTCGCGCAATGCCAAATTCTCGGCGAGTAATCGCGAACAGTCTGTTTCGAGGCTTCGTATGCGTATAGACTGAATCGAGTTCGTTTTTGCGAGTTCGCGGTTCTGCCTCAAAAAGCGTCGCTTGAGTGCTTCGATAGAATCCGTCGATGGCTGAGGTGCGATCGGCGGCTCGTTGAGACGCGCCATATGCGCAAATAGGTATGTCGAAGTTAATTATAAAGCTGTAGACGATTACGCGGTCGTGGCGACGTGGATACTACAAGGCGTCGGTGGGTGTTCCTTCTGTGTTCGTCATTGCATGTTTACATAGCAACAAAGCTAAGTCAAGATAGGCTAGCCAAAAGAGCGCTTCCACGTGACACGAGGGGCATGAACGCGTATCAGCACAGCATATCCGTATCACGCTTGGCAACTGTCTACCATATTAATGACAAAAAACCAATAACCTGACACTTCTCCTGTCCTCTAATCTTCCACAGAGAAAACACTTCTGGTAGCGCATCCCGCAAAGCAAGAACATCTACCTACTATTTACGAGTACTACTTGTACTTTCGCCGAAGAGAGTGCTGAACGTACACCAACTGTCAAGGATGTCAAACTTCACGCGCCCTCTCCCTACTCATCTCCGTAATCAGTCCATGGGCGGCTCTCAGCAACAGTCTCCCGTATTGCTCGCGCGCATTGCAGAGAAAAAAGCCGAACTAGCGAACCTGAAAGACCTGCAAGCACTAAGTGGAGGACTCGCAGACCAAATGCAGATGCTCGCTGATAAGTTGTCGACTTTATCAAATGGAACAGAAGGTGTGTAAATGAGTTTTACAGGCAGTCTCAAGCATGGAGCGCAGTAGAAATATCATGCTAACTTGGTGGTTGATTAGCGGTCGCAGCAGTATTGTCAAATTGGCATAATGTGCTAAGGGCTATCAACATGGCGTCCAGTAAGTTGTGCGATCATCGGGAGGATTATGTTCTAAATCACAGCAGCAAAACTTCCACAGCCAAAGGAAGAGGAGGACTCGGAAAAGAAGGCAGAGGATGAGCCGCCGTTGCCACAAACGCTTGTTCGCATTCCCACACAGCATGCGCCTGCGGTAATAGAGCAGGCCAATGCAGCAACAGCAGATGATTGAGCATGTGGACAACATGTGCCTGGCATCCTATCGAGCTTTTCGCTGAGCCCAAACGCTTTGAGACAGAACGAACACCGAAGGTGGAAGATTGATGCGCGATCGGTTGCATATACATGCGTTGGCCGTCCAATTAACGAGCATTTGCAAGCAATGGGACGTCTTGGGATGCACCTAGCACACCTGCAATCGAGCCCAACGTTAGCTGCAGTTGGTCCTACAGCTGAGGGATAGCATGTGCATCGAAGAACGGTGAAGACAGCACCAATGAGAGGCAAGGGGACGGGAATAAGCATAAGAGGGATACATGTCCCCAACTTCACATGCGCAAATTTAATGCTACAGGATGATGTAAAAGCTTCAATGCGCCAAATTTCAACAGCGAAAAACGAAGTTTTACAGACTATCCAAGTCCGTTGCCAGCGCTATGCAATGACGCAGTCCCAATCATAACGTGTCTCGTGAACACCCGTAACTCCAAGCAATGAGAATCGTTTCCAAGTCGTACAAGCCAGCTCCCAGCATGACCAAGTGAGTCTGCCATCTGAAGCGCAACTGAAGCTCACTTCTTCTGCTTCGGCATCTTCTCGTAAGCATTCGGGCTTGGCTTTCTCCGTTGACGTTTGTGCTTTTGCGGGGTACTAGAGGCCTGGCCATGATCGTGGACGTCTTCACAACCATCATCGTGCTGATGTGGCCGTCTGCCGCGCGCACCGCCAATCCTTCCCGCAGGCCTTGCGGTGCTGTTGTCGGGCTCAGAGTCTGAATCTGAGTCTGATGATGAATCTGAAGAGTCATCGTCGGAAGACTCGTCGGCAGCGCGGGGCTTGTGATAAATGCAGCAGACTTTGAGTCTGTTAGTTCCTCTGACGGCACAAGGGTGTCATTGGAGGGTTGTACCTTTGGATGATTTCTTCCCCATGCCTTCATTGTCAACCACGTCTTCCGCCCATTGAATGTGTCGACGTTGCGAGGGCTCTGCTCGCAGACGGAGCACGCCCGAAGGTGCTGACAGACGCAGGACAGGCTGAGGGCGGACCTCCATGGTCCTACTCCCAGAGTTTGGCGTAGTAGTCCTGGGGGATACTGGGTGAGGGGCGGCCATATTGCTGAAGTGCGACATGTTGTTTGATAAGGATTGCTCGGGAGACCGGACCCTTAAGAAGTTGGGACGGCAGTGGGGCGTGGCTACGCAGCGCAGGGACCAAAAGGAATCGCGAATTCGATGGCTGGAGATGGGTCTTGATCGTGGTCCGACGCCTGGTTTTGGGCGGTTGGTTAATAGTTGTATCAAAGAAGGTAGAAAGAGGGTGTGAGGGATAAGCAGCGAGTTGTTAGCAGGTGATTGTTCTGTGCATGTATGTCTTTGTTGTTCGACGATGATTTGTCTCGTGAGAGCAGAGTGGCCAATGCGTCATAGTCAAATCGGTACTTTCTCGGCCTAACCCGCACCTGGCAGCCACGCCGACCCCACGATCGCTTCTGTAGGCCTCCATCGCCCATTTGCTATATTGCAGCATACTTGCCAGCAGATGCCGTGCGTCGTTTCCTAGGTCACGCTGCATATTCACGGCTGCACGGCTGGCTGTGCACGATTTGCTTTTCCGTTGCGACAGTCCCTCACTACACTTCCGCGGACGAGACCATATGGGCAGACAACAGGATGAGGTCTAACACATAACGAAGCCCTGTTGTTGTTGTTGTTGTTGTTGTTGTTGTCGGAAAACCTTCCAGACAATCATGCGCACCGTATGGATCAAAGCCAACAGCTTTCGGTCAGTATAGTATGACAGGAAAATGTTTCTCTGGTGGTGTTGAAAGGCTGTCGAAACCGAGCTTTTCCATACACGAGTAAGCAACTGGATGGCACTTTTCAAAGAGTGTTCGTTGTGTATAAGCGATAATAACCAGATTATTGCATCACGCCGAAACTCTCTCACCCGCTTCAAGCCGAACACTGACATAATACAGTGGAAGCACTGGAAAATCGAAAAAACACGATATTTTTTTATTATATTCTTCGTTCAATATGACCAACACCATCTACCACCGCTTCATTCCAAGGTTCCCTTTGACATTTAAATGACCAACGCTGCTTGCTACACTTCGATTCTCATTTGCGTCCAGCCAGTGCTATATGATAGGGACATTAATCCGTCTGGTATCCGGCACGTAAGGGAGCATCTGAGACCATGGAAAATAGACATACCCTATCGGCAGTGCCGGGAATCGACACCATCGATACCCTGCCTCTCTGTGTCTCAAGAGCTCCGCGACAAGACACAAATTTACACCCCCATAGAAGAGGGTGCCAGCTCACTTGGTTTCCAGGACAGCGTATTCGGGGAACGTGTCAAAAGCACCTCCCGGCGTTCCAATTCTGCTGCAGGCTGATTTCCCACTCGCAATCCACGGCCCAGCAGATACTTCGGTTTGCATGCTTGAACGTTCACAAGCAAACGCGTGCGGTCATACTTTCCATATTGTGATATAATTCACATCTGGTGTGTTATTCGAAGCAACTACTCATACATGTTGAGCATCATATCAACCTCGTTTTTGCCGGATTCATTCATTCTGTGCATATCGCGCCGACGTCTAGCCAAGATGATGAAGAACTGAATACGATAGTGCTTTTAGGACATCTGGAAAGTAGACTATCAGCAGTAATCGCGTAACGGGTACAATAACAGACCTCCGTTACGCCTCGAACTGGCATGGATATGGAGCGTCTACAAACACAGCTATCGATCATCCAGATATGGGATATTGGCGTCCCAGACTGCCAGGCATTGCTTGACTTGAAGGGCTGCTTTTCCATCGTCACAATTGAGGTGAGTATCAGGGTTCCTAGCAGCCGCGACTATTGGAGTATCAAGGAAGAGCTGCATACATGTGCAGAAGAATGCACAAGGAGACTCATAGGGCCTGAGTCTGCCACAACCAGGATAGAGCGCACATGGAGGATCAAGGTGTTTTACAAGTGCAAGGGGAAACACCGGATACAGTGAAAGTTGAATGCCATCAGGTACAAAACCTGAACTATGATAGTCTTCATTGTGTTTGAAAGATCATACGGTACTAGCAAGTATAGTCATGGGCTGATGTGCTTGTTGCCTACTCGGTGAGGGCACATTCTATGCCCTAGTCTAGACGAACACGAACCGAGAATGTTTCCAAGAAGACATACTTCACACATTTGTGCGTGATAAGAGTCTCTGATGTCAACAAGCCGCAACGGCACCCTAGAGGACGAGATGCAACTATGACCAGTTCATGTACGCTCACACTGAGAGTGACATCACTTTCGGCCATTTCCCTATAGCAAGGTCGGAGGCATCTTTCTATAGTGAAGGCCTGGCCATTATGCCGGCAACCATGCGCTTATCAAACACCAGAAGCCGATTGCAGTGGCGGGAGACAGGTAATTTCCTTAGTGATGAAGGGATATTGCAGGGCAACCCCAGTGGCGGTGAGCGACATTTGACAGTTCCTTCACGTGTTCGCACCAACCTCAATAGTCATCGTATCGTGTACGCAACCGGGTGACGTGGAAAAAGCGATGCATGAGTGTAATTGAACTCTGCGCAGTCGATGCTTATGAGTTTCATAAGGCTCCGAAGAGTTTCACATGCTAAAAGGAGAGCAGAACAAATCTGACGGATGGAGAGCACAATGTCGATAAATGACGGCTGTTAAGCGGAAGCGGGCTCGGGGATAGCCCACATGCAGAACACAAGGCCGGTGAAGGTCGTGCACAACCAGCGCTCGGCCGCAGCGGGATCGGGAAATGAAGAGAGCGTGGAGCGGGTTTGTTCTGGACCGGTTTGAGCTCCACTGCGTGGGAAAGGGGGAGGATTAGTTTTCTGCGGGTCTTGGGCGACCAGAGGACGAGAGTGGCTATGCAAGGAAAAAAGATTGCTGGAAGCTGATCTGTTGTACATGCGGGAATAGAGCACGACGAGTGAATATGGAGAGATGGGCGTTCACGGTCTATGGTTCAGGGGCGCCAGGGCGCTTCTGATGGTGCTGTGTGGTCTGGAGCTCGCGGCAGGAGCCCTGGTCGATAATCTGCTGTTAGAGGTGAATTGACGAATAACGGAAGTTCGCGAAAGGGTTCCTGCAGTAGCGACCACATATCGAGGCTAGCGGCTCCGCATGGGGCGCAGTCCAAAATAAACGGTGCGGCCTAGCTGCCTCCTGAACCTGCAGGCCAGTAGGGGCTTCGGATGCAGCGCGACGGGTGGATGTGCAGCTGGGTAAATACGACGATAGCTCTATCGATTGCGTGAAGAGACTCGCGATAGCAGTGAAGACGTCTAGGCGGAGCTGGTTGATGAAGTCTGCGTGGAGTGCAATTAACGGCCCGGATCAAGGTCAAACATGTGGCTGCGGCTAACGACAAACGGGGGCCCTTCACCATCTGCTCGGCGTAACACACTTGACCCGTGCAAGGCTTGAGACAGCTGCCCAATCAAAAGGCCTGTCAGTCAGAACCGGAGATCAGGCTCCTGTGCGGCGCCTCATCTACCTTTCGCGCCCATCCGTCTTCTTTCCTTCAACTCACCTCTTCGTGGGCCTGTCGCTCTTTTAGCATCCATAACCAGCAACCTTCGCAGCTCGATCGTATCTTACCCCAGTCATTCTTTTTTGGGCCGAAGATTGTTTTGTTGTGTTGCTATCACCCTAGGCTATCGCCGTCCATTCACTCTTCGCCTACCTCGGAACGAGTTTCGCATATACTATTCTGTCGACAAGCAGTTACGACTGAGTTACGACCTTACGTTGTTAATACTTACATCTCGGAGCCTCACCCGCCACCGTACACTGTATAGTGTCACGTCGACAATTCAGAGGACGAGCTTCCCCCGTATCCATTACTAGCTTTATCGATCACGACTTCGCATGCCAAAGCGGTCCTAGAGCCATGGCACATTCACACCACCAACATATGCACCACCATGTGCGTAATGAAAACCACGTTGGCTCCCCTAGCAGCGCAAGTCAAACAATTCACATGGTCGAAAGGGCCAGCCGCGTTCTTGTAGCTCGCGCCAGCGCAACATGTACCAGCGACAGTGATCCCGGTTGCACAAAGCCGACTCAAGTACCCACCATCGCCATTGCACTTGCCGTCATGTACGTAGCTCAGGTCTTTAATAGTGAATGCGCTGATTGTTCTTAGTGTGCCTGTCGTCGGTATCACGATTGTCCTATTCTTCTTACATCGCAGGAACAAGAGGAAGCTTGCTGAGGAAGATTCAAAAGACAAATACAAGTCGCACGATTGGGGCATGGAGGGTGTGACTAGAGCTGGCAAGAAAGGAGGTCCCGAGATGAGCGTTTCCGAGAAGGAAATCCCTGGAGGCCACGACCGAGGTCTATCCATCGAAACCGGAAGCCCATACATACTGCCTGTTGGCCTGCACGGCTCTCGAGAGTCATTCCATTCGTTATCGCGCTCGCAGCATGATCCTCATGACCCCTACGGCCCCGTAGCTTATCTGAAGGATGACCAGAGCATCCGTAGCGCAACCCGTGGTCCCTACCGAAACGACGCAGGATCCATGTACACAACTTCGAGCGCTGGGACAAAGAAGGAAGGCCTTCAGGCCGGTCTGCTGCAAAACGCACAGAGGATGTCGACTTCGCACCCCATTCGCGGCGAATCTCTGTCCCCTGACGGCTCACGGTCTCCAGACAGCAAGTTCCCTGAACCGGGTATTCCTCTCAGCCCATTGAACCCACGATTCGACAAGGAGTCGTCTCCTGTTTCACCTCCAGTTGAATCGCCTTCCGCTGAACCCAAGACCCAGTATGCTGCCTTCAAGCCTACCAATGTTCCCACCATCTCAATTCCCGAGCCTGGTGTTACAGAAAAGCAAGTCAACAAGTCACCCGTCCAAACTACCAACGATATTCCCTCATTGCCACGCGTTCAGTCCCAGGCTGTTGTACTGGAGAACACAAACACGCATAGCATCATCAGTACCTCGAGCTATGGCGATGGTTTCCAGATCACACCACCATCACCCAAAGAAAGCGAGCAGCCCAAGATCGTTGCACCCAAGCCTCGCTACTCAACTGGTCCTCAGAACGTTGGTCTTGCCGTAGACGACTTTGGTCACAGCACCAACCGTCTGTCAATGAGCCTACGTCCTATGCCTTCCGATGACCCTCAGGAGAACCCCGAAGAGCGTGCCAACCGTATCCGATCTTTCTACAAGGAGTACTTTGACGACTCTAAGCCTGAACCCGCTGGTGGTCACCAGTACACCGACTATGTCGAAGACTACGGCTCAGAGTACCAAGACGGCACTGTATTCGACCCGCGCACCGGTGCCTTTGTCGTCGCACAGCCAAACGCTCCTTTTGCCGAGCCTATTACTCGTCGTGCCATGACACCTCCACCACGTGCTCCTCCTCGTTTCCGAAGCAACACTGCCACTGGTCCTCGCGGCCCGCACATGTCTAACAGCTCCATGGCTTCCTCGCAATACCCACCGCCACGCGGCATGTCTTCAATGAGCGGGCGTCTACCTGCGCCAATGAAGAAGCCACTGCCTCCACCATCCGCTTTGTCCTCTCTTCCCACACCCGGAAAGCTAACCGAGAACTCGATGGTTTTCGATGCTGCTGACTTTGCGCCGCCAGTCTCGTTCCGTGAGAGACAAAACGGTATACGACCAGACAGTCCACTGGGTGCCCCCAGACCCTACAGTCCCGCCGTGCGACCGCACACACCGCTCGTTGGTTCTTATGACGAGCTTCCCGCGCTACCCAGTCCCTACCTGATGCGCAAGTCCGGCACCTTCACTGCGCTTGACTTTGCACCACCTGGCCGCATTCGCGACCCTGCTGGCTCAGGTGCCTCAGATGCTGGATCTATTCGATCAAACCATTCTGGTATCTCAGCGGTCGGCAGGTTCGCAGTTCGTAGCGGTGCCAACCGTGTCAGCAGGATACCAAGAGATGTTATGGGTACCAGGGATGATTTCATGGTACAATTAAAGCCCAGGATGAACATGGTAGAGGGCGCCTAAACCTGTCGCAATCTGCTCAGCACCTATCTTTGACGATAGACACATCGGCTCGCTGGCAGAGCTCTACTCTCCTACTCGACCGAACATCAAAAGCTCACATCATGTCAAATTCTATATACACTGCTGTTTAGCGGCTCTGACGATTTCCTTGGTATCGTGGCATAGACATAGCGCGCGCGTTGGCTACTCTCCGTCTTCACATCACTGCAACAACCTGTACAGGCAGCTTGTCATGTACTTTTTCCTATTTTTCTCCATCGCGGTTGCGACTCTATCGACCGGCAGATTACTCGTTTTCTAGGGCGGTTTAGCGATGGACTGGCGTTTTCCAATGTCTAATTTTTATTCTTCTGCGTTGCTGCGAGATGGAGAACTTGAAGTAGAGGGCAGCTTGAAGGTTTGGAGACCATGGCGGTTTGGTGTTGGAGAGTAGATGTTGGTGGGACTCGTTGGAGCGATTGTGAAACATGTAAGCCGAGCACATAGAGGAATGGAAAGAAGAAACATTATTACAAGCACATTTGACTGTACCTGTTTGCACTCGTTGCACAGGGTAATGTTCGCTCTCGAAAAGAGCGCGTGCCTAGCAGGGAGCCTCGACATAAATCATGCACCTCTGCTGCCGAAGCCTAGCGTCATCATCCGCTATGCACCGGTCATGGACAAAATTATCCACGCAGATCACCAACTCCGCTCCCCCCGTCGTACCCGCGAAAATCTTACACATGCATTCTGCTCGTGTTTGTCCACACCAAAGTACTCCAGCACAGCCACAAGCAATTAACCCCACCCCCAAAGTCTTCATGGTGAACGGCAGCCAGGGCGACGTCATAACCAGCCTCTTGAACACGCGTACCGGCCAGACCATGCGAGTACCAAACGTGCGCCGACGCCGGTGCTTCAGTCGCGCCCAACATCTAGACCGGTGATTTGCTATTGGACGTCTTAGTCGCGTGGCTTAGTGCCGATGTGTGTCGTAGGCAATAATGCGCCGCGTCGCCAGCGCCTTCTTGCGGTGTCTAGTCTTGCTGTTAGGGGTCCTGTACGTCATAGCTCGAGATCTTCAACAAGGCTCCATAAAAATACACGACCGCTGCTGCAGCACGCGCGTATGAGGTTGCGTTGCCCCGGATCCAAGGCCTGAACATTCATCGACGAAGTGTTTCGGATTTTCTTCGCTCATCGTTTGTCTCAAGTTTTCCGTCGTTGGCTGTCCACTTGCTTCTCTTACTATTCTCCGCTGCAGCGCTTGCTTCCCCTTGAACGCCTGGAAAACCTCCGAATTGCCTACAATGGGCATTTTCTCGCGCCGACGCAAGTCGGATGATACCGCCGTCTCACAGACAACGTCGCCAACAGTGGTGCCTGAGCTCAGCAAAGAGCAGATCAAGCGCGCAACCCGCACACGCAAGATATGGGCGCTCACAACCTCCTTCTTTCTCTTCATCACACTCATATTCCTTATTCTCGTGAACATTGCGGGCGTACGCAATAAAGCCGTTATCAAAAACTGGTACTTTATCCGGCTCGACTTGAGCCATATCGTGCCTGCAAGCGTTCCAAACTTCGCACTGATCAACACCATCGCGCAAACACTGGGTTTGCACGATTTCTACCAAGTCGGGCTATGGGGATTCTGCGAAGGATATGCGGGCCAAGGCGTGACTTACTGTAGTAAGCCAGAAACGCTGTATTGGTTCAACCCTGTAGAGATCCTGCGTAACGAGCTTCTTGCTGGGGCGTCGAGTATGTTGCTTCCCACTATTCCATCCCATTCTTGCACATGACGCATTTTGCAAATCAAGCAACTAACAATACCTATAGTTAACCTTCCCGCTGACATCAACGATATTCTCGACCTCATTCACCTCGTCTCAAACTGGATGTTCGGTCTCTTTCTTACCGCAACCGTCTTGTCCTTCGTCCTCATCTTCGTTATGCCTATCTCCATCTACACGCGTTGGCTCACCCTCGCTGTTGCTATCCTTGCCTTCCTCAACGCGCTATTCGTAACGGTCGCCTCCGTCATTGCGACCGTCATGTTCATTATCTTCCGCAACACTATCGGTGGTGTGGCTGAGCTAAACATCTCGGCGGAAATTGGCGTCACCTTGTTCGCCTTCATGTGGGTAGCAAGTGCTTTTGCCATATTCGCTTGGCTCGTACAGATGGGACTCTGCTGTTGCTGTGCATCCAGGAGGGATGTCAAGAAGGGAAAGAAGAGAGGCAACGAGAAGGCGTACCATATGGATCCTGCTGGCACAGAAGCTGGTGGCATCAGAGATACGAACATGGTCGCCGGCGAGACAAACGAGAAACGCGAGAAGAAGGGTTACCAGTTTTGGAAGCGATCAGGCTAGGAACCTCTCCCTTCGGCATTCGACCTCTTCGACCATGTCACACATAAATATCGACTTGGACATGGAAGTCCCAGGAGCGTAGCTCACGTGCCATCTGATGATTAGCGCATAAAAAGAGAAATTTGGATCCTGTTTTTCGAGCGAGCGCGGCGTTGGTTTGGTATCTTTGGCATTTCACGGTACAGCATAGTACAGCGAAGCACTGGACATGTGCAATCGACGCGACATGATATTGATCACGGATAAGTACCCTCCACCTATACATAGAACCTAATGATATCGCTATCTCGTCATAGTCATAAGTCATTGTGCAATGGGTATCTCTGTCGTGGCTATCTCATAGTTGAGCTTCAGAGGCGGCAGTTCGCCTGGGCTTCACTTTACCTTTCCCTGCGCAGCACCCGCGTTAATTCTCTCCAACGCATCCATGTCAATAATCCGCAGCTCGGTTCTCGCCCACAGAATCACCAGACAAATCACCCCGGGCAAGAAGCCACCTCCTATCATGAAGCCTTCACTCCACTCACGTGCCAACCACACCTCATACAGTGCCAAAAGCCCACACACAGCTCTGTTGATAGGCACAATATAATCGCCTATCCTGTCTGCCATGTCTTCTGAGAGATACGGTACAGGCCGCCTCACACTCTTCTCAGTCGGTTGCTCCCAAGATGGTGTCTTGTTGTAGATTCCGTATCCGCCCATGGGTTTCTTGCCCTTCCCTCTCCCTCTTGATGGCGGTTGGAAAGTGGAAGGTGTCACATCGACGCCATCTATGGGCTCCATTTGTGTAGGTGGTAGGGGTAGGAAGTACAAGGTATACGCCGTGGCTAGTAGACTCGCGACAGCGACTAAACTTGTTGGAAGGGTGGACAGGGCGAGCAAGCGGGGTATGTAGAGTAGTGTGGGGAGTAAAGGAAGCGCGAGGAGAAAGAGCGTGTACGTGTGTGTTGTGGATGTGTCGTGTGTGCTGAGGGTTTGGACGAGGGCTGCGCGATCTGTGTGGTCGTGTTAGCTGGGTACGGGCCGAGTAGCAGGTGGAGGGAGAGTGCTACCTTGCTCATCCATGCCTGCTTCTATCGTGTCTTCGTCGTCGGATTCTGAGGGATATTTGAACGTTTTGCGCAAGCGCTGCGCCGCTGCTGTTTCTGCTTCCTTAAGCTTCTCCATGCCTTCTTCCGTCTGTTGCGCAAAGTTGTCCCAATGGGCCACGAGCTTTGGGGAAACAACTTGAAGTTGCACAGGAAACGGAAATGGCAATGTCTGCTGTCCGAGCCTGGGCTTGTATAAAGCTGGCTTTTCGTTGCTTCCTGCATGCGTGCGGCAAGGCAGCCACTTGTTTGATTGTTTGGGTCGGAGGAACGGATGACGTTTGTGGGGACTTTGGGACCTGGACCCTGGGATCAGCGCGCCAGCGCTAGACACTTCATATGCGCCGTGTCATCCTCAATTGACATGGACAAAGCAGTCGTTGGTTTCGTCTCGCATATGGTTGCATTGCGACATGTTGGAGTTCACACGAAGCTTATGATTCCGGCATGCAATGGTCATGGCAATGCCGACAGTCGACAGTCACTCTTGTTCTTCCAAAGTCTACTTACCGTCGTGTGTCCGACGTCACTCTACCGTGTTCTTCTCCTTCCACTCCCCAGCCGCCTCTTCATATGTACAAAACTCTACATCCCCTTCCCACGTCTTCAGCCACTTGATTACTCTCTCGATCATTCCAATGACGTGCGCCATACCACTAGTATCTGGGTGCAAGACCAATGGAAATACTACTACGTCTTTTTCCCCAATGCCATCGCGCATCTCGCTCCTAATCCAATCAAATTTATCCTTCCACATGTTCTCCATCACACGCACGTCAACATAGCCGTGCGAGTTGGGCACATTAGGGAGGTATTGAAGCGGCGTCATGTCTTCGGTGTACCAGTTTGCTGGAATTTCAACCAGTGTCTTGGCCATAGGGGCGCTAGGTCTGGGGAGAGGCTTCATCCAGTCCTTTGCGGAGGCCTCCTCGGTATACTTTGGCGGCTTCATAGGTGGTAGATTGGGGAGGTAGTATGGTTTGCTATCGTGGTGCGATAGTGAAGAGTCGTACAGGAAGGAGTATTCTTCTAGTAACTCTACGGTACTCTCTCGAAGCTGGTAGAGTGGCGCGCGGTAGCCCAGTGGACGTTTTCCTAACAACTCTTGGTAGAGGCTTATGCAATGTTCGAGGACTTCGCGTTCTTGGGTTGGAGTGAGCTGCGGAGCGCCTTCGTGGCAGTAGCCGTGTAATCCTATCTCTGCCCCACTGTTCTTGATTGCGGCAAATTCTTTGGGGAAGGACTCTGCACTGTGCATTGGTACAAACCAGGTCACTTTGTTGGCGATGTCGTATTTTGCAAAGAGTTTGAGTAGCCTAGGGACGCCGACATGCCCACTGAAGAACCCCGTACTATAGTCTGCGAGGTTATTGTTGGGGTGAGCTCCAGTGCCTAACCAACCTGATACCGCGTCAAAGTCTACCGAGAGCAGTATCTTGATCTTCGGTTCGTGGCTGATTCGAGGGGCGGTGAGAGATGACGTTGTTGGGATGGCCGTTGCTGAGGTGTTTCTACTAGCTAGAGATACGCCTTCGGTAGTGGTACCAAATATCTCGGCTTCACCAGTAGTATTGACAGAGGGCATCTCGGGTTTCACAGCAGTTGCTTGTGATTTGCGAACTTCGTCCTCCGACCACACGATACGACCTTCCATACCACCGTCGACAGATATACATTGTCCAGAGATATGCCCCGCAGCACGATGGCTGGCTAAGAAAGCAGCTGCTCGCGCTACGTCAGTCGGTTGAGCAATCTTCCTAAGGGGAACACTATAACAGTCAGCGAAATACTCTCAAGAGTGGATACAAGCATCAGACTCACGTAGCCTCAGCCTCCCTCCACATCTCCTTAGGGTCATCCAATCTACCCTCAATCAATTTTGTATCCACCCACCCAGGTGCAACAGCATTGATCCTGGCGCTCTTGTTCAACCTGACTATCTCGTTCTTTACCGTCTTTACAAGTCCGTACTGCAGTGCCGCCTTTCCGCTCGCATACTCCACATGTCCTGCCTGACCAAAAACTCCACATTCGGACCCCGTCACGACAACACTGACGTTGTTGACGTCCTTGCCGGTTTCCACTTGTGATTCTTCGACAGATCTGAGAAAGTGTTTGATCGTTAGGAAAGTACCGCGAACGTTGACAGCGTAGGTACGATCCCAGAGATCGCTAGGCATGCTCCATATAGGGTAGCTAGAAGATTCATCTGTGATGCCAGCATTGGCACAAAGGATATTTATGGGTTGTGAGAAGTGGCTAATGGCTTGGGAGATGGATTCTTGGATGGAAGCTTCAGAGCTGATATCACCCTGTAAGCAGTGAAGATTAGGTTTTGTTGAGGCGAGAGGGTTTGGGCGGAGGTCGTGCGCAGTGACTTTACAGCCTTGTGCTGCGTGAGTGTCAGCAATCGGGATGCATAGAGACACTCTGTTGGGGTGATGTTGTTGTTGGTTTGATTGCGGTGTTCGATGGCATAGCATTCTCTTCCAGTATCCAAGAATGCATACAAATATGCAGGATTCAATACGTACCTAGAAACTCCTCTACGATCGCACCTCCTATACCTCCAGCCGCCCCCGTAACAAACACATGCAATCCTTCAAGTTCAAGAAATGACATTGTGAGCCTTACCCGCGTCTTTAGAATTTCTCCAGTCAGGGAAGAAGGACCTCAGGTTGACACTCGATTAACTCAGCTCCACAAGATGCGCGCCCGCGTTCTCTGCATACGTAATGTCACAACAGCCGACCCGAGACCATGATAAGCCGTACATTATCATTATCACTCTGAGTAGCTTCCAAAAATGGCCGACGGCTAGCACTTGTTGCATATCATCATTTCTCCGCGCGCAATCGGTATGAGAGTATACACGTAATGCTTCGGTGCGAGGTAGGACGGCGAAGCATGCACCATCGAACATGGAGGGGCGGTGATAGTGACCCCTCAGTGTATCCCAGCTCTCAGAAACAGAGCTAGAATGCGAAGAACAACGACCGGCCTTCTACAAACTAGCCTTGTTCTGTAATGCACATGCGTCATGTCTGAATGCGCCTACGGCCAAATTTCCAGAGAAGCAAAACGCCCCACGCGCAGTAGGTGCATTGAAGGGCACTACACACTTTGGCACGACTATTTATCCAAAAGCGCCACAGTGCCCCTTGCCGCCCCGCCGGCCCACCCTCACGCATCGTCAAACTACCCAACGCGGTAATTCTGACAGAAACCGTTGATTTCCCATGGCCGAAGGGCACACTGCTAAAGTTCGTGCGACCAATAATGAGGGTGGTGACCTACGGGTTACGGGTATGTGCAGGAGGGGCACGAAAGGGCGGCCAATGGGGGTCAAGGGTATGTAGGAGGTGTGCTAGTTGGGAGGGTGGAGGGCGAGGGCACGAGTCGGTGATGGTGAAGATGGCGGCATACGTGCCTCGAGTTGGACGGATGAGGAATTTGTGCTGTATTTATTGGTTTCAGGCAATGCATGACTGTAGAGAAGAGTAATGCTACTCTAGGCGGGGTAACATTGTTTGCTGCCGACACTTTTCCCTGTCCCTTCTAGGCTTGGTTGGTATCATAACGCCGTCGCTCGTGGCTAAATTACAAAGTGATATCCTCGGAGCGGTAGTGGTCCGCTACAATACGGTAGAGGTATGAAGGTGCATGTCCACCACTGTAAGGGTCAGTTTTGCTCGGTGCTCTGAGAGGTTAGAGACACGACTTACAGATTGGTAATGTAGAGATCCACAAGGTCTGCAGGAACGTAGTCATACAGAGGGTTCTCAACATCGACCTTGTCGACAAACTCGCCGTCGTCGTAGGGCACTACACTTCCAGCATCACCGTGCTCGATCAGCTCGTCGATGTCGAACGGGTAGACTGGACTGAGCTTGTATACTCCACTGAGCACCACAACAGGCGTCTGGTGCTCCTTGGCAGCCTTTGCAATCATGTGTGCTCCGGCTGCAGCAACCAGGCCGCCGTTGGCCAAGACGGTGTGTGTGGCTAGAATGACCTTGTTGACGCGAGACATTATGGCGAAGACATGTGAGTCTGGGATAACGTAGACTTGGATGCCGGCGTCGGTGAGGGGCTTCCACTTGTCGTCGTCGGCGTCGTCATCTGGGTTCGCCTCTCGCTTTTTACCGGTAAGGAGGATGCCATGGGTGGCGGTGTGATCGTGGGGATATGTCTCGGCGTGTACGACGGTAAATTTGCGCTTTCGTGCGGCGAACAGGAGGAACTTCTGGACTGTTGTCGACGCAGTGTGGGTGAGGATAATCTCGTTTGCGTGAATGTGCTCGAGGGCAACTTCGGCAATCTGCTTGTCTGATGTTTCGAGCTCGTCCTGGAGTTCTCTTATGCCCTCCATGACCTCGCCCTTGAGGTCGAGATTCTGGCTCCTGTTGATACCCTCGAGGCGCTCCAGGTTGAGTGCTGTGAGAGTGCTCTTGCCGTTTGGCGAAGCCTGGCCTGTGGGTGTACTTGTGGTCGAGGGTGTGTCTGCGGGCTGGGAGAAGAGGCCGAATAGCGAGTGGACTAGAGGAGCGGACGAGGTGGGCGCATACGAAGTGTGTGAGGTGAGTAACGGGGGCCGTCTCGAGGGTTCGCTGACGTCGGATGCGTTGTCGGTGAAGACAGTTGTGTGCATGGGTTCGGCGACGGCATGTCTGAGAGGGCTGAAGGTGGATATGCTCGAGTTCAAGGCTGGCCTGTGAAGGGAGTCGTGCTGGGCGGGCGCCTGTGGAGTCGAGTGGCCTGGCTCGCTTCCCGTTGGCGTTTGCCCTTCGGCGTGTTCGTCGACGACCTCGCGCACGAGCCCCAGTACGCGTCGTACGATGTTGCCCACGACTACCTCTCGTGGTTGCGCCGACGTCAACCGCCTGCCGACCTGCTTTATGCGCTCAATGAGCTTTGCGGCATCCCTTCCCTTGAACTCGCCGACGACGCGCAAGAGCAGAGCCGTCGTCGCTATAGCGCATGGTCTCGAGTTCCGTATTTGGCGTCGCTTGAGGAGTCTGGAGCGGAGAGATTAGTTGGTGCTGGGGCACGTGGATGCAGAGTCGCGTCTCACGAGATGAAATGCTCAACCGAAGCATCGACAGGCGTGCTCTTGAGCGACTTGAGGTACGTCGACAGTCCCGGCGCCTGTATTGTTGCGCCCTGCATGGTGGGAATCTGTGCCAAAGCGAATATCGAGGGTATGTGGGGTGGTGGGGTTGTCGTGGTTTGGTCACTCTCGTGGTCGCTGGGCAGGTCCGAGGGGGGTGTGTTTTGGCCAGTCGGTGGATGCGCTGCTGGGCCAAAGCACTGGCGACGCGGCTATGGCGATGTTGGGGCAGCGTGGGAGTGGAATTGCATGTCGAAGCGGTGGTCATGGCAAAAGTATGAGTCGTAACCAAATTGAGCTTTCGGCGTTCCGATTGGGCACGGTCGCTCGAGCGCTTCGTCATTGCCCTCGTCCCCAACCTCTGCTTAGCTGCATAGCCATCCTCTGCCTCGAATTGCACGCCTCGGCTTGTTGCTAGTTCCGTCAGTGCTTGAAGAGCACATTCACTGAGCCGCAACTCTGTACACGCTTCGCAACGGCCCCGCCATCACGGAGCTATTACCGTCAGCCAACAACACATAAGCATCACGCTACCCCACAGTCCTTTGCCATTCTCGAGCCTCGGCCCTCCAGATCACCCCCAGCTGACGATGCGAGTGCAATAGCTGCACAGAGTGAGACGCGCAAGATGGGCGCCGACAGGAGCGACGGCTCCGGCTCCTCGAATACCGAGGCGGTCGCATCCGGATACGACGAGAAGACACCACTACTCCAGCAGGCCCAGAAGGGCCCCTACGAAGACACCAAGCGGCGCAGGATATGGCTGTATCCCGCGCGCATATCCGACGGCATTGCCGCTGTGGTCGGCGTGCTGGTGACCCCCTTTGTGTATACGGGCCAGTGTCTGGTCGCCGCCTTCTACTACGAGGAAGACGGCCACTTCTCCTTTCTAGCACCCGTCTACAACATCTCGCGCACTTTTACGCGTGCACGCCGGAAAAAAGTGGCGGCGCATCCATCATCGCGGGCCTCGGCCGCCCCAGACCGCAGCGAGAAGGGACTGCGCAAGAGTCGCAGTTCGAGTGTCGCGCAACCAGTCATGAAGCAACCCACGAGACGTTCACTGTCAATAGCATCAACCTCGACCGCCATGACGTCCGATTCCGAAAGCGAGCGATCTCCCACACGCGACGACGACACGGACAGCCCCTCCCGCCACACTCGCTCCAAATCGAGCGCAACTGCACGAGCAGACGAAATCGCCCCAGCCAAAAGGTCGATACGCATCACCCTGCACCACAACGAGGATGCTCTGAGGCAACGCAAGGCGGCGAAAAAGGCCCAATCGTCAAGGGCCGACTCCATCTCCTCCGAGGCGGCCGCTTCCCTAAAGTCCCCCACTGGCCCGGCATCTGCCTCGTCGAAACAACTGACCAAGTTCCCACGGGCGCCCCAACCCCCGCGTCCCCTGGTGCCACGCCGCCAGCCGTCGTACTCTGCAAAGGGCGTATCCGCCGTTGGACCACACCAGAAGACGCTGATCATAGATCTCGATGAGACGCTGATTCACAGCATAGTCAACGGCGGCCGCTTCCAGACCGGCCACATGGTAGAAGTGAAGCTTCAGGCTTCGGTTGGCGCGGATGGACAGGTTATTGGCCCGCAAGTGCCGCTCCTGTACTATGTTCACAAACGGCCGTATTGCGACGATTTCTTGAAAAAGGTATGCGTCCCGGCCAGGAGCGCCCCATGTCACACTAACGGCGCGACAGGTCAGTAAATGGTACAATCTGATCATATTCACCGCGTCGGTTCAGGAGTACGCAGATCCCGTCATTGACTGGCTCGAGGTGGAGCGCAAGTACTTTGCAGGCAGATACTATCGACAGCACTGCACTGTTCGTAACGGGGCTTACATCAAGGACCTTGCTCAGGTTGAGCCCGATCTCAGCAAGGTCATGATTCTTGACAACAGCCCCTTGAGCTACGTTTTCCATCCAGGTAAGATCAGCTCCGGCCCAGTGCGACCCAAGGCAGCCTGTACTGACAGTGATCCCAGACAATGCCATTCCCATCGAAGGCTGGATCAGCGATCCAACAGACCATGATCTGCTGCACCTTATCCCACTGCTTGAGGGCTTGCAGTATGTCACCGACGTGCGTGCGCTGCTTGCGCTTCGGCTCGGCATGCCCGCATCCGCGTAATCAGGTAGCCACAATTTTAGTGGCATTCGATTTAGTACCTCGCATTCTAATACCTTTTGTACTATAGACCCGTTGCGCCGAGCAGTTGGCTATGTAGCTCGTAGGAGGAGATACCCAAGATGCTATTCGTTCATGTTCCACGGCTCGCTTGAGTAATGTTCCTTTTGGGTTTCTTTTACTCATTACGAACAAGGAATTACCCGCCCGCCGGCCTGCACCTCCGATCTGCCACATTCGAGCTGTCGCATGGGCCTGTCGTCTCGCCCACGTTCCTAGCTTGCTCCCCCACGTCTTTGTGTCCGGGGCCTGACATTCGTGGCTATAGGTCCTTACTCAACATGCTCTTACACATCCCGCTTATCTGCCGCATCTTTTCAGCCCCACGACGCCCATTTCTTCTCCCGTAGCTCCATGCGGGACAGTAATTGTTCTCGTGTTAGGTCCCATCAAAATGAGCACGTTGAATGTTTATTACTCAGACACACCCGCTGTCCTTGCCGGATCCATACCTTTACAATGTTACTGTCGCTCTGAAAAGTGGATGCTCAACGTCTTGTGCCAATGAATTCGCTACAGAGAAGAAGTCTACGCTCGACTTCGATCGCGTCTAAAAAATGTCGACACAGACTCAAGATACGGACATAGCCATGGTGGATTCAAGGTTAGTCTATCACTGGCAGCCCGAGCAAAGCTGACTATGATTTAGCTTAGACTATTCACTCTTTGATGAAGCAATACAGGCAACACACAACACTATACTGCCAGAACATTGTCAAAATTTCCATCACGATGTTAGTGCCTCGCTCTTGCTGAACGACTTGCATCGTATATCCACCAGCAACGGGTCCACAGACCTGAGAAGACTGGTTTCTACCCGAAAGTTCACATTGTTCATTCGAACTTTTGCACCTTACTTCGATGTTCTTAGCACATGTATCGAACTAAAGCCAGCATGGGCGGGTCACTTTTGGGGAATTGTTCGTTTGGTATTCGAGGTATGGATCAAAGCCACTCTTGATGCATCTCTTGAATTCACACCGGAGATAGATGAGCACTGATTGCGTGATTCTCCTTGAGAAGATTGCCGACATGCTTGAGGCTATTGCGCAGATCATACCTCCTTACCAACAGATCTACGAAATTTGCAAACGTAACGGTTCCGAGGCTCATGGCCAAGCTGAAGATCATCATCTGGCAACACTTTTTTCTTACGTGTATGCGGACCTTGTGCAGCTTTTCCTAGAGCTGTATCGAATCTTTTGCCGAGGATCACAAGGTACGTCTTCTCGTTGACTTGAAGTCGCATATGTGGTTCGGACCGTCATAGTGTTCTGCGACACAAGCTCCAGAGAATCGTACATTGTTGAACTATGAGATTTTCCACGCGCTAGAACTTTTTACTATGCTCCGAGTTCTATGACATACAGTCGTAGATGTTTCCATATCGTACGGATTCAGAACCGGGTTTGACTGACTGTACACAGGCACAGAAGTGCAATCTCTTATGTTCGGAGTGGCACAATCATCGCTATGGCGGCCACTCGACTCGCGCTTTGCCCACGTTGAAACCCGGATAAGACAGCATAGGAGCTGGCTAGAGAGAGAGACCGAAAACGAATTTCAATACTACGCGGATGTCTCACAGCAACGTAGAAGTTATCTTAGCTTCCTGCATCGACAGAGTGGTGCAGACTGCAACAGTCAGGTAGAGCAAGATGGACAACGACTTGCAAAGCGGTTGAGGAGAGTTGAAAAAGTGCAAAGCTGGCTGTCAACTTCAGCCTCGATCGACACAACGGCTCACGATTTTCGTCAACCTTACCAGGATTTCTGTGCGTGGTTCTTACATGCTCCATCATACACCAAATGGCGAAACCAGCGCTTTGATCAAAGCATGGCAAACGATCAGAATGCTATGGCTAGTAACTGGCAGCATCGAGTGCTGTTCGTACAGGGTAGGTAAACCTGCATCTAGGTCAAATATCTGGAAAGCTGACAGGTGATTAGCGAAAGCAGGTTTTGGCAAGACTGTCATATCACACTCGGTTGTAAGCAATCTGGCTGGTGAAGCAGAAGACCCTGATCTATGCGATGAGCCTCCAGCGACCGCACACTATCATTTTAGTAACCTCCTTTGCAAGAACAACAAACCTGAAGACGCTTTTCGGGCCTTCTCGTGTCAATTGCTCCATACACATCGACACGACCGCTCCACCCTGGATGCTGTCAGCCTTTTATTGCGCAAAACTTCGTTTCGAGAACATGCTACTACTGATGAGGTCACGGACATTTTATTGCTTCTACTTCGACAACATCCCACTTTCATTGTGGTTGATGGCATTGATGAGTGTAGCGACACTGAAATGCTCCTCGCTTCTCTAGCAAGACTTTGCCGTGGTTCCGACACAAGAGTTATTATATTCAGCAGGCCGAACTTGAAGATACCTCTCGAGTACCAGAAATGGGCTTCAGATGCTCCCCACATTCTCCCACTTACCAGCAACTACAACGCAGTTGCTATCGATCGTTTCGTGGCACCAAAACTGAACCGCCTAGCAGACCAAGGTTTCTTTGGGATTTGCATGGACCGATCCCTCATCTCGGAAGTCGCGAAGACAGCGGATGGTGACTTTCTATGGGCCAGCATGGTATTGAAGTTCCTTCAATCGCCGCTGCTGTCATCGGAGGAGCGATTTGCTATCTTGCAAGACATTCGTTCGCTGCAGAGTCTGGAATCACTCTTTCGTATCATGTTTGATGCATTAGCACGCCATCCACTGACTGAAAAACATGTCATCACTGATACGTTCCGGTGGCTCTCCTGCCCAATCAACCGCATGTGTCCAGAGGCATTGCATACCGCTCTCATTCTACGCAACCCCAACGTGTCTGAGAGTTCGCATACGAAAGATATTTTAGAAGCCTTGCCGGAACTCACATTTGGCTTCGTTCGCGTTGTCAACGACGACATCGCTTTTTCCCACGGATCTATACGAGACTACCTCCATAGTCCAGGGTCTCAAAGCTCGGAGTTTAGTCTTTACGATGACAGCAGCGTGCATGCCCACCTAGCAGCGCGGTGTCTAGCTTACCTCACTCATGATGTACCAAAACGCCCTCTTGGTGCCTTGCAGCCTCGTGGCCCCGTCATGCCACTCACAATACCTACTAGCAGTGGTGCGAGTCAAAGAACGAGTGCATCATGTGATAGCGGATACAAGTCTCTGTCTTCATCAGACGGAGATACTAATATTCACACTGTGCATGCCACACCGACCCAACACAACAGCTCTCGGGCAAATAGCATCCGCACCATACCCTTCGACACCCACCTTCCATTCCTACGCTACGCGGCTCTCTGCTGGCCCATTCACCTCAGTCGGGCTCTGGCTCCATCGTCTCACCACACCACAAACTCTTCAGCGGACATACTAGCCTACCTACCCGCGCTTAGCGTCTTCTTAGCTTCTCGTATTGCGGTAACTGTATGGGTAGAAGCTTCTTTCCGTTTGAACCTGCCTCCGACACTCGCGCGTCTTGTCGGCCCGCTGTCAGATTTGAAGAGCGAAATATCGCCAGCAACTATGGAGGGCAAGGAATTGAGGCTAGTAATCAATGCGATAAGGGATTTGAGTGAGGAATTGTTGGACTTGAAGAGGGAATATGAAGGTGTTATGAGGCAAAACCCCAGTTTGATTTGGCAAATGGATGGACCAGAGAGGGCTGTGTATTGGCCAGTTTGGGAGGAAATTGTTGTGGGCGAAAATGGGCGGTGATGACGAGTACTGAAAGAGTCTGCTTTTCAGGAATGATCTCTGTAATGATTCATGTATATACCTGTGCTTTCTTCCTAGAAGATGCTCTTGTTGTGCCTCGCCGAGGACACCACACATACACACACGTAAGGCCGAGCTCCCGACACATGTGTTACGTCACCTCGACTGATCCGTGACCATTATTCGTGTACATATGCTCTCCTCTCTGGCGTAAAGCACTCGCTTCATCCATCGATCCGATTTGCTCTCGTAGCAAACCACACTTGCAATTCGACAATGGTCTTCCTCAGTAAGCTTTGAGAGAATACTTGAAAAGGTAATGTAGGTACATGACGAAGTAGCTGAGGCGTGATCTACTCAAATATGATCGTGAGTATGGCCGTAGAATTATGTATCTCTCAGGCACGGAGTCTAATTGAACCTGTGTTTCCCACGTGCGTGATGAAAATGTGAGAGAGAAGACGTGGATGGTGCTGGTAGGCTTGCCCTCGCGCCAAGTCTAAAGCATGTGATTTCGTGTGCTCTCCGAGATCCGTATGGTTGGCCGACTACTATGACACGTACCTTCACCCGGTGAAGTTTACGACCATAACAGCGATGTTTTCGCGCTCAGTCTGAGTCACAGCATTCGGAATCTCTAAACCGGAATCGTAAGGGTAGAAAGCCCACCGCGACTTGGCCTCATCCGCGTTCCATTGCAAGAACCCCGCCATGGCACCCCCGCCAGCTTCTCTCTATACGCTCTCCTTCGCGATCGCGACTTTAATTACTCTGCTTGTTGCTGCAACGCTACGTCTGCTCGCTATTCTTCCAAATGCGCGCTCGAAATCAACACCGCTACGCCAGCGCCCGCTCGCAACACGCGTTCTTATCGTGCTAGGATCGGGAGGGCATACACACGAGATGTTCTACCTACTTCGAGATTTGGATACACGCAAATACACGCACAGAACATATGTAGTCAGCAGCGGAGACGCATTCTCAGCACAACGCGCCGCGGAGTTTGAGCGAGGACTTGAAGACAAAGAAAAGGGACGATTACGAAAGCAAGACATGGAGAAAAATGCAGTCTACGAGGACAACGCAGGAAGAACACCGGTGACGGTGGTGACAGGTGCAGACAGCATGGTATATGTGGCGGGAGAGAAGCAGGGCGATAAACCAGCATGCACTGGACCAGACTACTACAATATCGCCAACGTGCCTCGTGCGCGCAAGATACACCAGCCACTCCTCACAACACCTCTAACATCACTCTATACTCTCCTAGCATCGTTCGCGCCTCTCCTTCACGCACCACCGCTGCTAGCTGGCCAGGCTCCCACGACACCTTACGAAACCACAGCCGCCGACCTCCCAGATCTCATCATCACAAATGGCCCAGCTACGGCTGTAATCTTGATCCTCGCGAGTCTTATACTTCGCTACTTCAACATCAAGGGTGCGAACAGCAGGGACAAGTGCAAGACCGTGTACATAGAGAGCTTCGCACGCGTCAAGACATTGAGTCTGAGTGGGAAGCTATTGCTGAAGGTTGTGGATCGCTTCTTGGTACAGTGGGAGGAGCTAGAAGGCGCTGGGGGACGAGCGGAGTACTGGGGCATTCTAGTTTGAGTACGAGCTCATATACATGGCAAGGTGATGGGAGTCGTGATATGCATGATTTAGGCGTTTGGTGTACATTTACAGCGAAGATACCCCACATGCTGCCGACGGCCTGACTGAGTTTCCCACTGCAATGCTTGCTATATATACAGAATAGATGCTACAAATTTCATTCCACAATGCGTAATGTGGTGTCATGTCGTGCTTTGATGGCTCTAATCGAGATCGGCTGTTTGACTGGAAATCTGCTTCTTTCCCAGATACGGCTTTGTAGCACTCTTCTGCATGTGCTGACCCAACGCCGCCAGCAAGCTTTCTTGGTCTACGAGTGGCTTCTCCTTCTGGCTCTGCACCTTCTTCTGATGTTCGAGTTCCCACCTCAGTTGCATGGGTGTCTTCATTGCGTCCGCAGCTCTCTGCTGTTGCTTTGCAATCTCCCGTGCAAGCACACCCTGCTCAGAGTGTCTTGCAACCTTGATAGGGCGCGGTGCATCAGGGCCCTTTTCCTTCTTTGATTTGATGGAGAATTCATGGATATCGCCGCGGAGTTCTTCACCAAGTGTTTCGGGGAAAGGTGGTGCAACGAGCGTATAAGCCATGGACTCTGATCCCTCGACGATATTGCGCGTTGTATCAACGTCATAGGCTCCGGGATAGTTGGGATCCATGCTTCTTGGGGTCGCAGCCTTGAATCTATCTTGCTCCATCCTTTGAATCTCAGAGAACTTCTCTTCGATGCTACCGGTTGCCAGGTCCTTCGATGCGTCCTGTTGAGCTCGGTCCTCGTTGTTCTTGCTTCGCCAGCGACTCAAACTGGTGAGCGGCTGGCTTATGTTGGCTATGGTTTTTCTGAGCCATGTTTGCTTGTCCGTTTCTGACTCTTTCGTGATATCGATATCTTTGATCTCTTCTTCACGTTCCCATGGCCATTCAAGTCGTTGCCGTGTGCCTGCAATGTATCGGTGGAATATGGGGAGACCAGTTCGAGGATCATATTGGTGTGCTTCCGGGATCTCGCTGTCGCCGTAGTCGGTGCCAGTATAGGGATCAATGCCGGTTGTATGTCGCTCCATGAAGATCTTCTCGACGACAACATCCTCGAAGCACTTTTTGCCTCCTTTCTGTATCTCGGCGGGTACCACTAGGCGTACGTGATCAAGAGGCATAGGCAAAGCATTCTCTATCTTGGGCCCCATGCCTTCGGCAGCGGCGTTGAACACGGCCGTGTCAAAATATTGCTGTGAAATGTTAACGATACACAGCTGCAGTAAGGCGAGGTAGAAATTACCATGTTCATGTCTCTAACGACAACCTCATGTGTTCTCGGAACGAGCTCTTGCACAGTACCAATTTTACCCGCATCCTTCCCCTTCAATATCACGACACGATCATCCTTTACAATCGGGAAATATTTCTTATCGTCGACGACCAGCGGATACTCCAGTTCCAGGCCCTTCTTCTCTCTGACAGCATTTCGGTTTTTCTGGGTCTTGACAGGTATCTCAGGCTTCTGGATCTGGGCAGCCTTGAGGGCACCATATTTCTCAGCGTCGGGGCCAATGGCGCGATTTGGCCTCAGGGGACCAAGCTTCCAGTCTTCCTTTGCATTGGCCAAGGCCTGTTTCCTGACACCCTTGACGTGCTCATGCTCCCACATTAGACGTTGGATAGAGGCTTGCTTGGAATCCCATCGTTCCTGTTTGAGCTCCTGTCGCTTCTTGCGTTCCCGCTCGTGCCAGGTAATTGCGTTCTTGACTTTCCGAATCTCCTTGAGCTTTTTGGCCTGTCGGGCGGCATTGCGTCCTGGCCTGACGACCAACTGGCTCATGGTGGGCGGGACGGCGGCGATTGAGATAGATGTGCGAGGGTTTGCGGACTACCGAGCCATCGAATGGCGGGCAACGAGGGGTGGAGTGATGGATATAGCCGGGACGTTTGATTCGAGCAATGGTGCCGCAAGTTCCTGGGCCACTGTCTTGTCCGCCGTGATGCGTTGTCGGCAGTCGTCGCTCCCAAAGTGGTGAACAGTGCATTCGACATGGTGAACCAAATTTCCGCGCCGGCGCTCGGGCGGTGTGGCAGCCTCGACATTCTGCCGAAACACGTCGTTGCCCATGACATGGTGCATCAACACTGACCATTGTCATCACCACATACTCCAGGTGTCTCCTTCACCATGGCGCTCTTACGGCGCAGGCTGCGCTGTCACTACTGCAACAACCAGTCACGCGACACCTTCTTACACATACCCAAGACATTTCACTGTCCGCAATGCGACGCCGTGAATCACTTCGATGAGGTACATACTCGCTGCGTGTCCCCTCAACTCTTCCCAGCTCACTTGTTTCTAGCGTGGAAACATCACAGATCCGCCCCTGGAAGAAATTGCATCTGCGCCTCAAGCCTCCTTTCAACACCTGCGGTCGCGCTCACCAACACCTGCCATGTCCACAGTGGGGGATGACATCTTCTGCGACACATGTCAGCGCAACCAGACCCTCTACGCCAAACTCCTCGGCGAATACCTCCCTGAAGAAGACGATCCGGCATACGACCAATATCTGGCCGCGTATGACGACTACAAGGACGAGCTCGAGACCCGATATCCACAAGTCTGCAGCGAATGTCTGCCTCGCGTCCAACATCAGATCAGGAATGCGAATCACGTCGCTAGAGCAGACAATCTGGCGCGCATAATGGAAGCGGCCAAGCAGAAGCGCACGACCGTTCACACCCACCGGCAAGCGTGGACACTGAGGCTCATTTCGCTGGCCAAGTGGACTTACATCTTGAGCACGGTAACAGGCGTGGTTTGGCATAGTGCTGGGTTGATTATGGGTCCGGACCAAGATATACGGGCGTACCAAGTGTTCAGCTGGGATACTTGTTGGACCCAGGCCAAGTCAAATGGCTGGATCGATGAAGTCTGTGTCCTGTCACCCGTAGTACTCAAGTGGTTGAAGTTCGCAATTATTGCCGACGCTCTTACAGTCTGGTGGAATCCCAAGTTGAAAGTCAAGATGAACAGTCTTACAGGACGAATGCGTGGGCTTATGTCCTTGTGGGTGATCCGCGTAAGTGCAGTTGTCCTCCGCTTCGTAAGCCTCTATTACTGGCAAGGCACCGAAATTAACAACGAGACGCTCGACCACTTCCGGCACACTCACATGGGCATGCTCGGCATACTAGCTTTCTCGTCCCTCATGGCATGGAAGGCTGTGCGCATTGTATACGGCGCTGCACCCTCTTTCCCAAAAGCGACTCGGGAACCTGTTCCCGAGGTGCCTGGTAGCGCGAAGAAGGTCAGGAAAGGCTCTTACCATCCAGCTCATCCCCAGGCGGACCTCTTCGATAGTATGGCGCAAGCTTTCACGACTGGATTTGAACAGGGTAAAGAATCCTCTCCTCTCCCTCCGTCACCAACCATCTCAGAAGCCTCCTACACTACACACGCTACCGATGTCACCACCCCCTTCGCTCAGCGATCCGCATTTCTGGGTGCTGACGACATGGACTGGACACCAACTAAGCCCAGAGGTCGTTTCTCTTCCCAAGCTCCAGAGATCATATCCAATCAATTTTCCAAGACTACAACCCCACCACCCGCAGCACCTCCTCGCTTCAACGAACCCCATTCCATCTTCTCAAAGCCAGACCCAAACCCCTTCCGTCACCGGGTCCCAGCCCCGCCACCAACCTCCCTCTCTGCGAGCCAGAAACCCAACCCTTGGAAACCCAGTGTCTGGACTCCTCCTCTCAAAGAAAACGCACCCAGTTTCTTTAAGAAGGAACAGAAGACACAAGGAGGCGTGGGAGAAGTATCAGGCCTAGATGGCCTGGGTGTACCAAAGAATGTTAAGAGGGACGCGGAGCTCTTCGCTAGCCCGAAGCTGAAGTATGATTATTATGGGACTCCAAAGGATACAGGATTGGAGGATACGTTTAATGCTATGTTTACGAAATAGGGTAAACTTTATCCTAGAGTTGTTGAGATTGCATTTGTGGTTGGCGTTTTGTTTAAGATACCCGGCGGCGCCCCTTTCCTATGTTGCATCAGTCCAAGTCGGTTGACGTTGAACGGAATGCTTAGTGTAGAATGCAATGTCCTTTTCAATAAACGATACTTTGTAGCATGTGCAGCCTCCATAAAACACGGTTGCTCAACTTCATGGACGAGGTGGCAATGCACCAAACTTCACTCCATAGACATATGCAAACGGAGTGGGCGCTTGAACGAGTCAGATTCTCTATCTAACTCTCCAGCATATCATGACTTTTCATATGCCGAGTAGAAGCACAGATATCCCAATGTAAAGACTCCGGTAACCTCCCATAGTGATCCGCGGATTCCATCATTCGTTCATGGCGGGCTTGTGGTCCACGTTCGTTTCCTTCCTTGACTCCTTGCAGACGAGTCCTCTATGACCTGGGCTTCTCCTTCTTCTCCTTCCACAGTGCGGACAGACCGACACCGGAAACCTTGACGACCTTGAAACGCACACCGGGAATATCACCCTTGGCCTTGCCCTTACGACCGAAACCAGCAAGGAGGACCTCGTCGTTCTCATCGACAAAGTTCAAGCAACCGTCGTTGGGAACTGCCAAATTATTAGCCCGTGCTCTCATGCTCGCCACAGGCTCATCTCGGAGCTCTCTTCAATCTCCAGATAGTGACATACCGAAAGCGGTGACCTTCTTTCCGTTCTTGATCAATTGCACACGGACACACTTTCGGATAGCGGAGTTGGGCTGCTTGGCCTCAACACCGACCTTCTCGAGGACTATGCCCTTGGCGTGGGAAGATCCACCGAAGGGGGAGGACTTGAAGGCGGTTCCGAGAAGACGCTTCTTGTAGTGGAGGTCCGCCCATCGTCCCTCGCGGCGATGGTTGCGGAGCTTGCGGGCGGCGTTGAGACCTCTTGGCTTTCCTGATGGTATTGTGAGCAACTACACAATATACGACGGTATTCAAGACGGCGAAGGCGCGGGATCGTGCATTTGTCGTCGATCGGGGGCTGCTGGAGAGAGTAGTTGCATACCTTTACCCATGGTTGCGGTATTGACGACGGGTGTGCTGGGGAGAGTGTGGTTAGTATCGCAGACGTCGAAGTATTTTCGAGAGCGGCTGGAATCAGTGTGCGCCAGAGCCAAGCCCCACAGCTTAGCGGCGCTGGCCTGCAAACGGCCTAGCGCCACCACCCCATCTTATCTTATCGGGCCATCGTCATCCCATCTGGGGGAGACGAGAACATCAACTGTCAATACCGAACAAGTCACATGTTCAGCTTGTTGGCAGTTTTTAGAAGCTGCAGAGATTCAATCAAGTGCCCGTCGTAAGACTCATACAGGGTCCACGATACTACAACTAGTATTTTACGTTACGCGCCTAACTCGCGCGTCACTATGGCCTCCCAAAACGTCAAGAAAGTCACCAAGACGCAAACTAATCGCCTACCTGCTCCTGCCCTCTTCGTCGGGCCACCATCGCACAATGCTTCCAACACTTCGTTACACGAGATTCGATCCCCTACAAAGACGCCCTTAGTCCGCCAACGTTCACTGCTCTCCCCAGATTCGCAGCGACCTCTTCCACCTACGACAACCAACGATGGCGACCACCTCAGTCTTACTTCCACAAACCCTTCCGCGCCCTTCCAACGGCGACAAAGACAGCATAGCCAAGCAGCAGATGCCGAAGCATCATCACGCGCCGAAGCAATATGGGCCGAGATGCAGAACACATTGGAGGAGGTGGAGCTGAGCGCCACCAAGGGACCAGGTATGACCGTCTTCGGTTCTGAACATTCCCGAGCCCTTGATGAGCTGCGAAAAGCGCAGATAGAACTCGCGAAAGCATGGGCACGCTCAGAAGAGGATGAACAGACACCCGAACAGCAGAAGAAGTCACAGGATAGCAAAGCGAACGATCTGCAACCACAGAGCCTTGCACACCCCCATGACGGGGCAGGATCCGGAAAGGGTGAGAAGTTGTTTGATCGCATCAAGCTTGAGGAGGAGACAGAAAAAGATATCGAGTTGAGCCGGAAGAGGAGAGAGGAGAATGACAGGTACTTTGAGAAGGTAAACAAGGGTGTGCAAGAGGTCGTTGTAAGGTTGGAAGAAGTTGCAAAGGCGATGAGGGGAGTTGAGAGCGAGAGCAAAGAGATCTGGGGGCATGGCAGCGAAGAAAGCGTGGACACTGCAAGCGTCACGACGGCACCGAGCGTTACCTGAGATGGCATGCAACTACACACACAACAATTGCGCAAAACCACCTATTTATGCACGGGCCAGTGTAGACCCAGATACCTATTGAGATTGTGTTCTCCAGACCCAGAAGGATCCACACGCCTCCATACCAAGACGCCACACAGATTTCAAAAGGAGCTCTGATTGAAGTCAGATAAGCTTTCACTGAAACATTCTAGGGTTGGTAGCAAAATGTTAGAAAGGTCGCGTGTAAGACGACCAACAAGACTTGAGACGCGTAACAAAGATGTGACACACGCAGTGAGTATGATACACTGCGGCTGCTACACCGTATCGTGTAAAGGCAGCGTCATAAGAATTCATATAGCGTTGTGTAAAGTTAGGAGCTCAATAGTGAGAAAACCACATCTCTGTAACTTTCTCTCTTAGCCTGATCAAGGTTAAATTCTGCAGTATCTGCTCTTGTTCTCCTTCTTGTCTAGTCTTTGTTTTACCGTCTATAAGAGGTAGCGGTATTCCGGGTTCAGGTCGCCCATTTCGGTCTTTTCGTATTCCGTCAACCCAACATCCCTGACGCTCTTGTTCCTCTTCCGATTTGCCCAGCTGCACATGACAAAGTACGCGCAGCAACTCAATCCACTGAGGCATACAAAGCCGATAGCGATTGAGTATCCTCTTGTATACCTCGGCGCATCTTTCTTCAAGAATGAATAGACTGCAATAATACCACCAATGTTACCTAGGGTTTTTAATCAGTTTTCAACATCTCATATGGTGTATATCAGGAATTACTCACCAAAACCAACCTGCCATGCACTTCCCACAGCTCGACGGTGGTGGCCACCCAAGTTCATGTTGAACCAACATACGATGACTGGCATAGCAGTATAGGCCCCCATCGCTACTAGGAAGAGCGCCGCGTACTGTAGGTTGCGATTGTCGTGCACAGAGATGAGAATAGCGAAACCGGCGATACAGACAGCAATAGGGAAGATGGCGAACATGAAGCGGTGCTTGAGCCTGTCTGAGAACCACGCAACAAGCATCGAGAAGCCGAACGCGGCAGCCCATGGGGGAACACTGTGAAGTTGTGTTTGGATGGGAGAGTAGCCGAAATCCTGGATAATAGTCGGGGAGAAGTAGGCATATCCATAGGCGGGAACGATCAAGCCAAAGTACATGAGTCCGCCGAGCAGGATTTTGGGATCTTTGAAGATGTTCGCCACATCCTTGGCTTTGATGGGTCGTTCGCGCGCGGAGCGCCCTTGATCGATCTGGAGCCTGGCTTTGACGAAGGCGCGTTCGGGCTCCGAAAGCCACTTGACTTCCTCTGGAAAGTTTGGAAGCAAGAAGAAGAATGCGAAGGAAACTAGAACGGTCAAGAGTCCTTCGAGAATAAAGATCCATCTGTCGGAGTCAGTGTATGTTGGGTGTGCATTTGCACATCTAAAACTTACCTCCACCCACGGTATCCCGAAATACCTTCCATCTTACCAATTGCAGAGGCTAACAACCCACCAAAAGCTCCAGCCAGAGTTGTTGAGCTGAAGAAGAACGAGTATCGCTTCTGCGCCTCGTGTCTCCGGTACCACATGCCTATTAAGTAGAACGCACCGGGGAACATGCCGGTTTCAAATAGACCGAGAAAAAATCGAGTCGCAAGTAAACCAGCGTAGTTCTGCACGAAGCCTTGTAGCATAGTTACAAGTCCGAAACCAAACATGCAGATACTGAGCCAGACTCGAGGCTTCATCTTCTTGAGGAGCACATTGGAAGGGATTTCGAACAGGATGTACGGAACGAAGAAGATAACTAGGGCAGTATTGTAGCGGTTGTCCCGTACTAAGTCGAGTTCGACGCTGAGTCCAAAGACGTTTGCGTTTGCGATATTGACACGATCCAGGAAGGCCAGAAGATACATGATGCAGAGAAAAGGAATGACATGGAGGTCGATTTTGGCCACGAGTTTGGATTCTGTAGTGTTTGGTGGACACTGAACGAGCGCCGGGTCGTCATCGTAGGTGTTATCGTAACGAGGGACAGGGTCCGTCTTCTCAAAGTCCGAAGACGGTGCATCTTTTGCAGATGATCAGCGTGATCCAGTGAATCTAGGGATACGTCGTGTTGCATGGAGGGACGCCTTGAGGAAGCAAGAGATGTGAATCTGACGATAAGCTTGCAAGCTGACAAGATTCGTCAAGCATTCCGGGGGAGTGATCCGAGACAACTTGGCAGTGTAATGACGAGATGCAACTTACTCTCTTTCTTTCCAAACATGATGGAAGCTGACTTGTTCAATCCACCTGGTTGGTCGACTAGTGCACCGGGGTAGATCCGACGCCAGGTTCGCGCTTGCACTGCACTTGAAACAGGCGGGAGTGAAGAGAATATAACGTGGAAGCGGACAACGAGATAGAGTCATTGCGAAGGCCGAGGTCGCTGGTGACCCTAGCACTAGATCTGACCACTCTCGCATCCTCCACGCTCGCTAACCCCGCATCTTTGACTTTGCCCTTTTTCCCATGCGTAAGCGATGCAATTCCTCATTAGGAAGCTGCTCTGCCGTTCCCCAGCGCCAAGTCACGGGTACACAAGGAGATGGCGCAGACAGCATGCTGCTAATCATCCAGCACTCGGCTCTGGCAACAAGCAAACTGGACAGGCGACTTTGGCCGGCTCAAACCTGTAAAAAAGGCCCGTAAGCGTGCGCCTCGCGTGTGATGTAACCATGTGATCAGCGGTGTGGCGTCGGGCCTAATGGGAAAAAGATGCATCGGAGCAGATTGATGCGGCATAGCGAGCGCGCATCGTTCCGAATGTCAGTGTCGTGAAGAGTTCCTGGACCCATATCTCCACTGGCAGACGTATTTTTTTTACCAGGTACACTTCTAGGCTGATGTCAACTGGACACTGTAGATGTGATGGCTACGGGTGGTCGCGCTGAGTAAGGGCCAGGTTTTATATCCGAAGGGCCAACCTTGTAGTCGGGCAAGTTTGGTTCGGCAGCCGACCTCAACTCAAGCCTGGGCGCGCGAAAGTCTCAGCGCCGTCCACACTCCTTTCCTTTCTTTCCTCCAGCCTCTCGACCGTCCACACTCCAATTCCGCCATCTTGCCAGCACCTTATGCAAGGCCCGAGCCTATACGTGGAAGTGTGACTGCGAGCGACCCGTTACGATACCCAGAGCGGCTGGCCTGCTGACCCGAGATGGTGAATGCCAAATATGTCGCCTTTACAGTCAACAAGCAGACTCCATTCCTGCAGACACCGGATCAAGCCTACGCAACCGTGATCAACTGTCGGCGCCCCGGCGGGAAGCGTGCGGGGCTGGCGCAAGAGGTACGGTCTCACAATGTGCCCTTGGCAATGGTCGAAGGCAGTTTGAAGCGCAAGCGGGGCGACGAGGGCAGAAAGGACTCTGAGCAGGCGGCAAACCCTGCTGTCTACTCGGGAAACGATGCGACGACTCCACTCGTTGCGGCACCGGCCCGCCAGCTGCTAAATCAACAGTGGCAGCAGCGCAAGCCGACGAGATTACGGAGGGGCAAGATCTTGTCCAAAGGCGTCGACTTGGACTGTTGGTTCATCATACTTTCGTATTCGGACCCTGCGCAGCTGCTGGAGATGCGTAGCAAGATTGCCTCATGTTATCGGTTTTTGCGGGATAACCCCATGCTCTGGAAGCATAGCAGGGATTACTACTACGGAAACGACATGCCGGACCCACCTCCAGGTCTCACCGAGTTCCAGTTCGCCCATCTGCGTCATGGACATGGCTGTATGGACTGCGGTGCGCCAAACACTCGCAAGACGTTCTGGGCCTTTCTGCGTCGCATGTGCAAAGACTGTCTCAACAACCAGGTTGTCAAGGAATACGATGCCATTGCCCAGCTGCGGGGCCTAAACGGCGAAGACGTTTCTTACATCCGTGCTGCTCTGCCCAGTGGCATCTTCGATTCTTGGGGCAACTTTGTCGGCGTGGGGCCCGCGAGTACGCATGCGTTGAAGACCATCTACCTCCGGTCAGATGTACAGAAGCTCGTTGCCGAGTTCCACAGGGAGTCAAGGGAGAAGACTCCCAACACAGAAGAGACTGCCGCATGGTGGACTGAATGGCTGGCTACAAAGGCCAAGCAGGTAGAAGAGCGCCAGATGTTTGCAAAGAAAATGGAGCAATGGGAAGAGATGCAGCGAACAGCCAGGACCTCCGACTACAACGCAAAGAAGTCACGGCGCAAGAACTTTTTCAAAGAGAAGGCGTCGCAACTGACTCCGCCCATCAGCGTCAAAGAGCTAGAAGCCTGCCCGGCCTACAAGCGTGCCATCACCATTCCTAAAGATCCCAATAATACGTCCTGGGATCTCCTCAAGCCCAAAATTGTCAAGGAAGCAGCCGAGAACGCAGCCAAGAGGAATATGGAAGAGTCGCGACCACCAACAGCATCCAACTCTGGCATTTCCACACCTACCAGCAGCCTAGATGGTTACCCGCACCCGCACCCGCACCCCTATCTCGGTATGATCATGGGTATGCCTCCGCACAACGGTCATCTGTATTGATCATTTTCGTTTGTGCATTTCACGTTTGGATGAGTAATACACGAGAGAGGTAATGTTTCGGGTAATGATCGCATTCATGTCATGGCATTGGAGTTGTTATTCATTCTGGTTTCTTCACGCACACAAACTGAGTGAGCATTTCCTTGCAAGGCGTTAATCAAGACTTGGGATTGCATCGAAGGACAGCGGATGGGAGGCGTTGACTGTGTTGGCTTCTTTTTCATTACCACTACGAACGCCCTGGATATTCGCAGTAATTGAACTCATGTTTTAGTTGACAAATCTCGTGCATGGAGAAACAGTGAGGTACCACTATTAGATCGAGAAAACTACCTCTTTGAGCGATGCGCCCCCACTTTTGCCGTGCACGCCGCTCATCGGAGAGGAACGGCATGTGGGCATGGCATGAGTCAGTCTCGGCGGCTTAGTACACGAAAGCTCTGGTTGGCCACCGTGTCTACCCAGCATGGTAAGTACCACCGTGGTAAGAACGAGGGAGAGGGGTGAAGAGAGTGAAGCTTGCTACACGACGAGTAGAAGGTGACGACATGCGCCGCCCAAGAGATGGAATGAAGATGCCGCAGAGCCTCATCTATTACCCCTCATTTGGCTGGCTGGCCTGCGTCGATCGACGCGGCCACGGCGAATCACAGCGTGTGGAAGTCGGATTATGCACGAGGGCAACGCCCAGCCCTTTGAGGCTACAAAACCACGGTTTCCCCTGCCTAATAACTCCAACTCTGTCGTCTGCCAGATAACTTGGACAAAATTTCCCAATCGGCGAAACATGGCTTCGCGATCGGACGTGTGTCGCGGCGGCATCAGATATCGTAATCCCAAGGGTCCAGACGATTATGCCCCGTAATGCATCTGATTGGTGCAGAGGCTATCAGAGTGGGTCTTTGCCGTTGTTTCCAGAAAGAAAGATTGTCGCCATCGGGTGTCCGAGGCATTGAGAACATTATCTTTAAAAGCTTTCCCGCGCCTACGACCTGGTTGCTTCTTCGTTGTTACTCTCTTCGATCTTACTGCCTTTGTGCAACCGCCAATTGACCCCAGAGGCAAATTGAGCTTATCAACACACACCTCCCGACTTGTAGCACAATGGCATCTGCCTCACGAAGCTTCTCCCGCGCCCTGCGCACCGCCGCTCCCTCGTTCCGCACCACCTCAATCCGCTCCTCTGCCCGCTTCGTCGCACCCACACAGAACGCCTTCCGCAGCCAGCAACGCGGATACGCTTCTCAGCAGGAAGGACCAGACAAGCACGAGGGCAACCCAACTGGCCTAGCCTGGGGCGCTGGTGCCCTCCTCGTTGGTGCTGGTGTATACAGCCTGTACACATACAAGCCCGAATTGTTTGGTCAGACCAGCAGCAGGAAGATCTTCACACCTAGGTTCGAGGACTACCAGAAGGTCTACGATCATATCGCAAAGAGGCTCGAGGAGCACGACGACTACGACGATGGCAGCTACGGACCTGTACTGCTGCGTCTGGCCTGGCACGCCTCGGGAACGTGAGTACCATGATTTCTCTTCCATCAAACAAGGGTGCTAATTAGCAACAGCTACGACAAGTTGACCGGAACTGGTGGCTCCAACGGTGCTACTATGCGCTTCGCTCCCGAAGGCGACCACGGCGCCAACGCTGGTCTCAAGGCTGCCCGTGACTTCCTTGAGCCCGTCAAGGAGGCTTTCCCGTGGATTACATACTCCGACCTGTGGATTCTTGCTGGTGTCTGCGCCATCCAGGAGATGCAGGGTCCCAAGATTCCATACCGAGCTGGACGCTCCGACCGCGACGTCTCCTACTGCACGCCCGACGGTCGTCTGCCCGACGCAAGCAAAGACGCTAGCCACATTCGCGCCATCTTCGGCCGCATGGGCTTCGATGACCGCGCCATGGTCGCCCTCTCTGGTGCACACGCCCTAGGTCGTTGCCACACCGACCGCTCTGGCTTTGACGGCCCCTGGACCTTCTCCCCTACTACCCTGACCAACGATTACTACAAGCTCCTGGTTGAGGAGAAGTGGTCATGGAAGAAGTGGAACGGTCCCAAGCAGTTTGAAGACGTCAAGACCAAGAGCTTGATGATGTTGCCGACCGACATGGAGCTTGTCAAGGATAAAAGCTTCAGGAAATACACTGATTTGTACGCAAAGGACAACGACGCTTTCTTCAAGGACTTCTCTGAAAGCGTAATGACACTGTTCGAGCTTGGTGTACCATTCCAACAACCTGAGGATCAGCGATACGTCTTCAAGAGCTCTTTCGACTAAGTTTATACAAGAGAGTGCGAGGGAAGATTGGGGTTTTACTTTGAGCCAGAGATATCCATCTAGATTATTAGACCGTTGCTTTTCTTAGGCAGCATGTGCTAGATCACTTTCGGAGATTACTTGCTTAATAGTCCGCATTGTAGACTTTTGAGCATACAGCACGAGAACAAGATTTTTGAAACGTTATACACATGTACTGAGTTTTCGATCGGGAAGCGAGGTAACGGCGACTGTGACCGTGTATGTGACAGTATGCATGGTGTTTTATGCCTCGCCATCTTACCGACATCTATACATACTGTCTTTTTGCTCAAGCAGATAGCCTGTATCTTCTAGAGTTCTGTAGTCACATCTGTTTTGGTCTTAGAAATGCTATGTTATCATTCGATGGCGCTTCAACTTGCCGCCCCCTCATTCACTCTTCAGCGCATTCGCGAGCTGTGCCGTCTTCTTTTTCCAGTACGCCTCATGATCCTCTTCAATCTTGCAGAAATCATCCATCTCCTGTTTGCCTAGCTCCCTCACCATTTTCTCCAGCTCCTTAGTCTCGCCCTCAGATAAACCTGAAATGAGAGGCAACGTGCCGTTGTGATCACTTGAAGGTTGATAGATAAAATCTGGGAACTGATCTATTGGCGTGGCGTCGTACTTGCCACAAACGTCTGGTGCTTCTTCTTCTTCTTCTTCTTCTTCTTCTTCTTCTTCTTCTTCTTCTTCTTCTTCTTCTTCTTCTTCTTCTTCTTCTTCTTCTTCTTCTTCTTCTTCTTGTCGGAGAAAAGTAGCACGCCTTTTGCCGACAAGAGGTTTGTAGCGTGGAGAAAAGCTGTCGTTCTCAGGAACGAACAGAGTGTCTTCAGCGTCGGTGGCTTTGATAGGCGATGAGGAAAGTGGCAAGGTCTTCTCATACAATCCTTGTTCAGTGAATAGCATCTCTGTCATCGCTTCGTCGCCCAGACATGTAGCTCCCAGCTTCCAGATCTCACTCACGACAGATTCCCACTCTTTCTGCAGCGTTCCCAGCTTTGTCGTCTCTTTGGCAATCAACTCGTCATAGTGTAGCATACGAGTTTCCAGTGTCTGCACAAACCGTACACTCTTTCCTCTACTGTCGATACGCTGCAGTGATAGCTTGAACTGAGAGATGGGCTGATACAGTTGGGTGGCTAGACGTTCGTACTTTGCTGGGCCGGAAAGCCTTGAGGGCGAGGCGTTGGAATTTTGCTGACTACTGTCCGGGGTGATCGTTCGTAGAGTACTATAGTAGAGGTTATGGAGAAGTGAATTGAGAGTTTCGGTGATGTTGAGTGAGGTAGTGTTGTAAAGATGGCGGCGGTACTCGTCGCTAGCATCTGTGTGGAATGGTATTAGTTCCCTGTACGCCGATAAAAGAATACTTGTGCAGCACCTTTGAATATCAAATTCAGAGGGTGCTTCCCTGAGGATCTCTTCTTTCCTCCACTTTTCTTTATGCTTCGTGGGGAAGAGCGTGACTTGGCGCTCAGCAACGTCGTAGCATTAGCGTCTTCGCCGGTAAACTTTGAGTTTCTGAGGGTTGCCTGGTGTGTACTGTTTCTTTTGTCAATCTTATTGTTTTGCCTCTTGAAGACGGTGGCAGCTGAAATTGTCTTTTTCACTCCTGCGAGCGATATCTTCTTCGTTAGCAGGTCCACGTTACCGCGCATTCTTAGAGCGGGTTCAGTACGCTCAACTCCCATCCTAAGTGGCATCGATCAGGTGCGGATGACGTGTTATATGTGTCGAGGGGTACGAAGCCGAGCGTGGAAATGAATCCAAGACTGTCCAAAGTTCGTGGTGTGCTCCGATTATCTGGAGGAAGTCGTGCCCGTGCTGGAGGGAAAGAGCATCCAGTTATGTAGAACAAGACAAATCGCAGAAAAGGAGTGTTTTCAAAATAGTGGCATTCACTTTATCAGGTTGTCTTCAAAAGTCCAGCAATGCGGGTCGCCGCATACCTTAATCGTCGCAAACATATACATTCTTGTTGTTACAGAGGCAGTTGCCAAGCGTTTACAGTAAATGCGGTATTGCATGACACAGTCTTTACACACCTTTCATGCTTCGTTGTTGCGTCATGTATTACTTATGGTGCCTGTCCGTCCGCGGGAACGACTACACCTTTCTCCTCCAGCATCTTCGCAAGCGATCCGTCTTGGTGCATAGACATGAGGATGTCGCAGCCACCGACAAACTCCTTGTCAACGTATAGTTGTGGTATAGTCGGCCATTCAGAGTATTCTTTGATACCTGTTTTACACCTGTCAGCCTGCATAGTTGCATATATTGTCATGCCGTGACCCGAGACGTGCATCGGCTCGAGTTCAATAGTCTCAATGCCAAACTAAGGTGTGTAATCGGAGCGACGCACCTTGCCTAAGATCCTGATCCTCTAACACGTTGAAGGCAGTAAACTTCTCTGGATCAACCCCCTGCATACCCAAGATCTGTATGCTAGCTCTCGAGAAGCCGCATTGTGGTGTCTCTGGTGTACCCTTCATGAACAAAACAACGGGCGATGATGCGACAGCCCTGTCAATTGCGGAACGGACTTCATCAGAAAGTAATCGTGCTTGGAATGGTGTGAGGAATCGTGCCGAGGGGATGGGGCGAGCTGTGCTTGCGCGGGTGGCCGCTCGGAAAGCCTAGTAATTGTTAGGTGGGAGATGATAACTACACGTGGGTTTCAGGGACTGACTGAAGGGATTGCGCGTCTTGTGAACATCGTGGGTGATTGAAGTGGTGTTGACAAGAAAGTCTGGTGATGCCACCACCTCCGTTGTTCGCCGCACCCGAAGTTTTGGATGAGGTCAGAACGCCAAGGCCGCTGATTCACTAACCTCCCATTCGTTCTTTTTCCTTCCTTGCGCAAATCGAACCATTATTAATCGACATGTGGACGGTCAAAGCAAAAGATCCAACTCAGTACTCATCGGAAGGGCCAGAACCGCAGTTCGTTACGTACTGAGGTAAGAGTCGCGTAAAGACAACTTTACCTACAACCATGAAGACCATCAAAGTCCGGCTCTGAGTCCGGCTTGACAGAGCCCTGGACCAAGCTCACAGCCTACAGCAGCGTGGAGTAGTTATCACTAATAATGCTTGATGCGACGCGCATAGGTAAAGAGATGGCTAGCGTACAGTTTTCTGTGGAAGTACCCAAACACCAAGTCAATATCAAGTCACGAGCAACAGCAGTCGCCGCTTCTGCAATCACGTCATATAGGAGATATACTCAAGCGGTTCAATACAAGCCCCAGAGATGATTAAAGATAGCAACTGCGTCTAAACATCGCTCAGAAATGCGCCGACGCCTCTAACAGCTTTGGAACAGACGGTTGTATATAGTTCACACTAACAAAGCTATTGTCAAACAAGTCTGTACTTGGGATGGTGGTCGCCCAGATGATCCGCCTTTTCATCAGACAGGAGAGAACAAGAGATCTCTCGCCTATGTGACATCCCAACAAACAGAAGAAGATCGATGACAATTTATGGGCTCACCCGTACTCTTCCAATCCCTACTAACGCGCGATGAGGAACATGACGGTGGTTGGGACGAATAGCGCAAAGTCTGTGAGATGGCGACATGGAACGATGTAAGGAGTAGTGAAGGTAGCTTCGCTGTGTCGTTCGAGATGTTTGCGAAGAACGGAAAAGTTTCTGATATCGTGCCAATAAGGATATTGATGAAGAAGCCTAAACCTGGGAGCTGAAAAGTGAAAGGATGGACACATGCTACGAAAGCAGGTACTTACATCATTACCCGCTCACATGTTGCGTCAAGACGCCGTCAATAAGCAGTCCGATAGCCATGCCGGTCTAGCAGAATTCGTCTCATGAGTAGCTTTCAATATTCTTACTGTCAGTCATAACCACTGAATTTCAAACACTATGCCGTTGCAAACTACGAACATAGTCAGTCCTAAAGTCGTGGGGAGGATAAATATAGCACCTAAGGCGAAACACCGTGCCTGTGACTTTCAAGACCATATATGTAGAGGCACTATCCTTGTAACAACAGACAACACCCCCTTCTCTAGTCATAAAATCCCTGTTCCAGCAACAGTACGATGAAGAACAGGGGACGTAGACGAGGTTGGGTCAGCACACCGCAAAGATGTTAGTTCGAAGATAAAGATAGAGGTGAAGAATATGTGATTTGCGCTAAAGTAAGTGTAGTGTTAATGCTATATGAGCTTCTGTAGTGGTGTAGTGAGGGAAAAGGTGATTACCTTAAAACACGTAAGGCACTTCTATGCCATCTGATACTACATACGTTCACATTATATCTTTACCTAAGGACAAGGTTCAACTTCTACGTTAGTATCCTAGCATCTCGCTATTCCCAATAATACGTATTGTTACAGTCTGTGAAAGCCCCTTGTCATGTATGGTATCGCGTCGAGGATGGGACTAAGGAAGTGGCTGTTAGTGGCCTTTCTAGTATGACTTGATCGATACAATCAAGGCCAATTTAAGTTATCCGTACTTACCTAGCTGTAATGCTTAAATTTGACAGAACGGTAACGAAGACGTATGATCATGCCACAGAAGGCTGACTATAACTCGAGCCCGCCAATACACTTATTTTTCACTGCCATAGTTATCCCCTAATAGATTAGGAGTCGTGGTTTCCAAACCTTGCTCGAACATGCCATTGCACATATGGCCAGTTTTTTTTAGGAACTAGGTATCCGTTTGAGATGCAATCATGGCTACGCCTCATATCGTTCTGATCTTCTTGGCCTGAATCCGCTACACTACATCGTGAGTTGAGGTCGGCGGCGGAGAAGATTGCATTCCCTTCACCTCGGGGTGTCATCTCGATTCTTTGGTCATAGTTTTTGGGCGTACCTAGGTATTTGCCGTCTTCTTCTGTTGTCAGGTGTTGCAAAACGAGTGCGACATAAGATATTCCTGCCTAGGTATAATCATTTCTAAAGTCTAGCCGACAGGCGAACGGTTGCAAGCTGCAAGTACAGAAGTGATCCAGAAGAGAGACTCAGAATGGAATCTACTTAAGTAGAAGCAGAAAGACAAGAGAATGATCGAGTCGTAAGCTGCATGACTCATATTTGCAAATCAAATTCCGCGGCTGCTTCCCTCTGATACGCAAGGGCTGTTGTGCACCACTCAAGCAACCTTAGTACCTAGATACCCAGCAACGGGTCGGGCAGATCATTCCGAACCTAATGTGCACTCCCCAGAATCTGCGCGTAGCTTGGCGACCCAACGTTCACTGAAGAACATGGCTCAATACCACTACTTAAATAGTTTTATCTTGCCTGCTGAAACAGACGCATTGAACATAGTCGCTATACCTCGTAAAACGTTGATTCTAACAAGCTGACTAGACGATTGTTTCTGATCAAGAATTGATATGCCACGTTTCTCATAATTGCAGTGACGCTATTGAAGCGCTACCACCAATTATAGGGACAACACCCTTGAAGTCATGACAATCAGCGCCGAATTGAGCTTCCTCGACAGTTGGCAAAGTAGCTCTGTGATAACACAAACATGATGCAAAAGATGTAATGCTTCCGAACAGGAGGCCAGTGCCCAACCCCTGAGAATGTTCACAGGTTTCGATGTGTTGATAGGACACATTTGGCCAAATCTAAAACATGAGCCCTAGACTTAGGGTAGCTTACCTGTACAGTATTGAGCGACTAATAATCCATAGGTGTGATACTAGGTCTCCTAGATCGAGATGATGCTAGAGTCAGATCAATCCAATCTGTCTACGCAGTGCGAGATGGGTAACGCAGTACATGTACCCTAGAGAACGAGATAGGATTTACTCCTCAACTTCAAGATATCTCGTTTATCATTCGCGTCTTTTTTTCTTAGTAGTAAAAATGCTCATCGGGCGGCAAAGGGACGTAATATCTTGGACGCGTTGTTTTGAATGGGGTTCGTTGAACTCGTAGATGCAGTGGTTGTTTGTACGGGAATGACTTGGCCATGAGGTCGTAAGTCGAGCCTGTTTGCGGCGCGGAGTGTTTGAGATACGATTGAGAGATTGATATAGGTTGTCTGTAGTGAGTAGCTGGTTGCTGGAGAGGATGCTAAAGCTATGGAACTGGTGTAGGTTGTGTGAAAGGGCAAAAGAAAGTCTAGGGTACTTGACGGCTACGAGTAGGTCCCTTCGCTTGGCCGGAAATTTGCAGCACGGCTGGACGACCTCAGGCCTCCCGATTGTGTTTTGAACTTGGCCAATTTATCCGTTGTGATACTTGGCCCATGCCCGACGGCTCAAGGTGAACAAGGTAGGTAAATCATTCAATCATTCAATCAGTCTCCTTCGCCTCGCTACAGCGGTTGCGAAGCATCTTGCCGAAGACACGCGAAGATTTGATAAGCATCGACCCCTCTCGTTGCTGTCACGCTGGCCTAGTCATATTCCCGCTTGTAGTGACGTCTCGATCGCGGGAAACTGGTAGTCTGATAAGCTAGCCTTCAGATATCGACGATGATTACGCTTCCGCGAGTGGACCTACGTTACACTGCAGTTGGTCTCGGAAAATCTAAAACCGACGTTGATGAGGCGATCGAGGTCTCGTCAGACCTACTGCACCGACGCCTCCTCCAAGGTTGCCGGCTAAAGTACTAACGATGAAACGGAGCTTCAACTGCTGCCGAGCCTAATGTTGGTCAATCAGGAGATATTGCGTTGCCTCCCTCTGGCGAGATGTTGAGCTGCATGTAGAAGTGATGGGGTCGGTGGTGTCCACGGACGTTATGGATGGCTGTAGCAAGGACCCAAAGTGACAATACTGTTTGCACAATTGTTCCAGCTCTTTCGAGGGTGGGAGCCGTACGTAAAGCGAGATACGCCGGTGGCCCATTACTCGACTACTCCCAGGGCGGCATGCCGCTCATGGAAAAGCCGATAGGGCTGAAGAAAGCGATGCGACGCCTCTTGCACATTGCGGATGCAGTTTCGCGGAGTTCTAGAGCCAGCCTCGCACAAGCGGTGCGCCTATGGGGAGTATCGTTATACGCCTATCCGAATACCAAGCTCGTATCTGTGGTGTTGTTGCTGGGCACTTCAAGCCTCGAGGCATACATATGGCATTTGGCAATCGCCTCAGGCCAAGGATGTCTCTGCGACGCACGCTACCCCCCATTCTCCACCAATCCCCACACATTCGCGTCAGCAGCAATCGAAGGCAATGGAGGTGATATACTTGGCACACGAATACCTTGACTGATGGCAAACACAACGATTGGTGCGAAATTGGCGGGTTTAGCGACGGTATGGCAAGTCTACGGATAAATTCGAGCTCCAGCTATCGGCGAGCGTACCACGGTGCCCGCACTGGTCCGTTCACTATCCTACTGCCCCGAGCAAGCAACGCCTAGTGCCCTTTCTAACGGCATATTCACCGTCCAGCCATAGGACGGCTTTAGAGCCAACAGACGCGCGGGTTTTACGGAAGCTTGGTGCTTCCATCTGCTCTGGACATGGTTCTATCTCACTATCTCCAAACTTCACACGCACCGCGATTAAACCAAGACCTGGTCCTGCATCCCACCACCCCACGGATGAATATACGGCGCTCACTCTGAGACGCCTGTATTTCTCCAGACACAGCCCCACCGCCTCACACCCGTCGACGTTTGAGAGATGGTAGCGACGGTTGTTGGAGTTCGCCAGTTGTATACCGCCCGTCGCATTCTCGCCGAGATCCAGCATCGCATCAACGGTTTCAACACCTACGGTTAACAGTAACAAGCAGCACAGCGCACAACTCTACCCACTCATGGCTACCATGGTGCAAACCGGGAGCGTGACGACGACGACGACGACGACAACCACCCCCCATCTCAAGGAAGGCGCCGTCATAGACGTGCAGGAGATTCCGAGTGGCGCCCGGCCGGCGCTGTTAATTCTGCACAACGAGGGCGAGGAGGACATTGTAGGCATCTTCGCGGATGTCCTGGGCCAAAAATGGGAGTCGGCGACATCGGTTGACGACGCACTGGCAGGGCCGCCAGAGACGGTCTACGGTCTAAGCAATAGGCTGGCCAAACCGCAATTGGACGCCTGGGACCGTTCCAGGCTGTTGATCAACACCCATCGCGTAGACGGCAGTTACGAACTGGACGAGAGCATCACCGACCGATGCGACTATGAATACCTCTATACCCGATCGCCATTCTTCCGTCGAGACGTGTCGCGGTACCTCGGCTTCATTCTGGGCCAGATCGGGCCCCATCGCGATCTCACCAAGAAAGCTCGCACGACACTGATATCGACTACTTTTCCCGATGTACACGCTGCGCTTCCTAACCTGGATATCCTATCCGTCGGCGCAGATGCGATCGAAATACGAGTCGACTTGCTGGAGGAGCCTCTGCCAGATGGGTCAGTTAGCAAGATACCCAGTTTGAAGTATGTCGGCGAGCAGGTCATGGTACTGCGCCAACGCACAGAATTGCCAATCATCTTCACCACGAGGTGCACAAAAGAAAATGGCCGCTTTCCCATGGACGATCCCTCACTCTTCTACCGGTACCTCGCGCGCGCGATACAATGGGGCTGCGAATATATCGATGTGGAACTGTGGCTGCCAGAGGAGATTAGGAGGAAGCTGGCCGAGAACAAGGCGTGCACCAAGATAATCTCGGCGTTCCACGACTTCTCGGGTAACTTCAAGTGGACCTCACCTGAAACACAGCGCCTGTTCGAAATGGGTGCCGTGTATGGGGATATTGTCAAGATGTACGCACTGGTCAACTCGATGCAGGAGAACTACGAGCTGGAGTACTTCCGGTCTACTATACAGGCCAAATATCCTCACCCGCCCTTTTCAGGACTCAACATGGGCCCCATGGGCCAGCTATCAAGGACGCTGAACAAGATATTCACTCCAATCACACATCCATTGCTACCGATGATTGCGGCGCCTGGCCAGCTTAGCGCAGCCGAGATTAATGCAGCGCTCCACACTATGGGCCAGATGCCGAAGCAAGACATCTACGGTATCGGAAGCTTTCGATCGACGTCGCAAGCCATGTTTTTCGAGAAGTGTTTCAACGAGCTTAGCCTGCCGCATTCGTTTGGGTTTGCAGAGAGAGCACCCAAGGCTTCGATTGAGCACATTCTTCGACGCAACAACTTTGGTGGTGCATACATCAACCCACCCTTAGCGGCTTCGGCGTCTTATCTACCTTCCTTGTCGAATGCTGCGCGGGCCATTGGGCAAGTTGATACCGTGTTGGTGCGCTCGGGGACGAGCAACGCCTCCTTCATAGGGGACAACACGAGATGGAAGGGTATCCGGGCAACACTGACTCGCGACTTTGTGCCCTCAGCATACAGTGGACAGGCAGCCTTGCTGCTTGCAAGCAATGAGGCCGATGCATCAGCCTCGATTTTTGCACTGAAGAACCTGGGTATTGGGCCCATATATACGATAGGGTTCAGATCCCACGGGCCACTATCCACTGACGTGTCACCGGTACGGTCGGTAGACGACGTGAAGCGGCTGCAGCAGCCGTTTGTTATCATCTCGGCTCTGCCTGCTGAGAAATCGCTTTTGGTGGTGCCCCTGCTGAAGCACTACAGGGTTGCCGGAAGGAATGGAAGCACCAACGGACATGGGGCGACAGGAACGAAGGCTGCAGGCAAGGTGTTTGTTGACTTGGCCAGTGGGCCCCGTAAGGCCGACCCATTGGCAATTGCTACATCAGCCGGATGGACAGCATATGGTATTGCTGACGTCTCAGCATGGACGACAGTTGAAACAATACGGAAGCTCGTCGGCCAAAACGTGTGTTATGATTTTGTGCGTTTGGCATCCGGAAGGGGACATTTTTAAATTCAGCAATTAGCAATGTACACATTTGATGACCACTTTCATGTCCACACAATCACACACGACAACCCTGTTCTTGATATGTAGAGCACATGCAGCGTGACAGGAGCGAGTACCAGGGATGACGGGTGACTCTTGATGACGGGGGCCCTCGTGGGAGCTGTTACCGGGGACGGGGGCTGCAGCTAATGGTACGGCAGTCTGGACTGATTGGCTTGCGAGCGATACCCCGGATTTTCTAGAACATATTCGATGCAGTCCGGCGCTACAGGCGCAGCTACACCGAGACGAGATAGCTGCGTGAGACGGGCGCAATTTAAGTGCCAAATTGCTAGTAGCTGCATGGCAGAGAACCGAGGCACGGTGCGCTGGCTGAGACGGCATGAGATGGACGATTCCTCGACGTGCGGCTAGCCTCTTACCCCAGTGGCCTCATGATTGTCATGTTTTTGTCCTAGCAAGGGCCCCGAAAGCTGCGTATTCCATACCGTCTACTCGACTCGGCCCAACGGTTCCAAGGTTCGCTCGTGGGCTGTTCTACCACGCAAGGCTAGATACCCCGAGATCGTCGTCACGCGTCCCCTTCACCCCCAGCGGTTCCATAGCTGCAAATTCCTAGTCGACAGCGTCCACTGAGTCGCATCCGAGTGGGCGCGCACTCCCGCTTCATCAAGCCTCGCCGTCCGCGCACCCCCTGCTTGTCTCCACTGCCATAGGCCTTAATTTGAACTTACATCTTACGCTGTATCGTGGGCGTGCTTTCTTCTTCCTAACGTCCTGTTCGCGATCAACTTGTACATTTTGAGCCAGAGAATGCTTCTGGTCCATCGTCCTATAGCGCCGCTATGTCCACCGAAGTGTCGCAGTCACTGGCCGCCGCAATGGCTAGACCTCAGATCGGTATCGACCGACTTCCCGCCCGCCGCGTTTCGAACGAGCCCCGAGAGGCCATGAACTGCAAGAGTTGTCGAAAGCGAAAGGTAGCGTTTCTACACTCATCTCCCACTTGGTGTACTAACCCAAGCTTCAAGATCAAGTGCAATCGCACAAGGCCGACTTGTGAAGCCTGTCAGGTGTTCAACTGTCCGTGTATATATGGTACGCTCCACTCTCAAACGCCCCTAGACGCATGCAAACATGAGCTGACGGCCCGCTACAGACGCTGTTCCCAAAAAACGAGGACCAAAGACAGACGTCCTCGAGGCCCTTCTGAAGCGTGTTGACGGCCTGGAAAAGCGCCTGGTTTCCGAAGGAAAGAGCGATGACCCAACCGAAACCGACCCCACCTCCCAGGACAACAACACTGCCGTCGACACCAAACCAAAAGATCTCGCATCGTCGCAATCTCCACACGAATCATCGCCCCGTCGCTCAAGTGCCACCAACCATGCGAATCAGTTGATGTCGCCCATTGAGCCAAGGTACTTACTCACAGCATACCGTCTTGGCCCGGCGCATTGCTAATAGTGTCTAGTATACAACCGCCTACCCTAGCTCCCGACCTGCTTCTAGACACCTATTTCGCCAGAATTCATGGAAAGCCCTACTATATCCTGGACGAGTCGACCACGAGACAGCGACTACAGGCCAATCAGCTTCCCGGTCACTTAGCCTATGCTGTTTACGCCGTGAGTGCTAGGTACGATTCGCCCACCCCTGAGTATTCCTGAACACAATTAATATATGTACCCCAGATATGCACCCCACTTCGGAGGATACAGCTCTGCAGTGCGCATCGGACAAGAGTATGCCCGTCGTGCTCGGCTGGAACTTGAGATAGATGAGCCCTCTATCGAAACTTTGCAGACACTGATGCTGCTTTCGCAAGCAAGCTTTCAGTTAGGCAAGGGCAAGAAGACGTTTATGTTGCTGAGTACGAATTCGTCGCTATCGCAAGCTAGTACAGAACTGACTTCGTTCTCAAGATTCCGCTATCAGCATGGCGTTTGCGCTCGACCTACATCGCGAACTACCAACCGGCATGAAAGTCACACCTGCCGAACGTGAAGGGCGACGCCGACTATTCTGGTCGTGTTACCTCATGGACCGTTTCGCTGCAACCGGCTCCAAGCGACCTTCGTTGATTGCGGATGAATCAATTGTGCTACGATTGCCGAGCTGGCAGCTGCACCCCGGCGCGATGCTGATAGACGGTGACTACTTTCCAAACGGATGCAATTTGCAGTTCATGGGCGGCACTGGAAAAGGCGGACAAGGAAGTATGGGTATGCTGATTGGCATAGCACGCATCCTGGGTATAACAAATCGCTACCTTGCAGCCGGTGGTGTCAAGGGTGATTCACACTTTCCCTGGCACTCATTATCCAACCTATCCAAAATCCGCCAAGAACTCGACATATGGGCATCGGAGACGCAAGATACCTTTACCTCCATCGAGGCTCTCTTTGGTCAACCCGACAGTACCATACTTGTTCTCAGCAAGTTGATTTACCACCTCATACATTGTCTCATCTATCGGCCTTTTCTCCCTGTAGACTTGGCCGAGCTTTCTGGGACGTCGCAGCACCAACCCTGGCAGATCGAAGCGACCAACCTATGCTTCCTTCATGCAAATGCCATTGCCGAACTGGTTGAAATAGGCAGGGCTTCTTCTATCATAGATTGGCCGGCCTTCGTTGGTTATTGTATATGCACAGCGGGCACGATACATGTGCATGGAGCACACTACCCAGGAAGAGAAGGAGAGGTTTTCTCAGTCAGCGCAGAATTTCTGTCTCGTGAGATGCAGCAACTGTCCGAGCTTCGCTTCATCTGGGCTGGAGCTCAGCATCAGCGAGACACACTGCAAACTATTTACGGATGTCACACAGAGCTTGTCCAATCATTGGCAAGCAACCCCATGCGCTATGCGCCGGTTTTCCAACTTGAAGACTTCTTCGACAGGTACCCTGGCCAGATCTTCGATGGAGCACATGTTACGTTTTTGGATATAGCGGTCGAATCCATTCACGAAGGGTAAGCGGACGGGTCTCAGCGTCCACATACTGTGCTAACAGTTCGATAGCCTTGCGACCTTCAACATCGAACAACGCAATAACATGTACATGACTAGCGGCGTCATTGGGAACGCTCAAGGCTACCAAAAGCATTCCGCGCCCTCACAACAACCACAATACTCTAATGGTCACCCAAACAAGAGACGAAGAGCCACAACTTCATCTTCCAAACCTGCAGCCCATTCTCAGACCATTCCCCCAACACCTACATCAGCCACTCATCCGCTTACTGTACATACTCACAGACCTTCCGATGCCGGTACTTCGGAATCAAACCCGAGCCCGGGAGATACTAGAGCGCATCCTAATGAATCTAGTGTGCCACCCTATACTCCACCGTTACCGAGCAATTCTTTGAATCCACCGAGTGCTAACGGTGGTGGACTTGCTCTTCCTTTCTCGCCAAACTTTTCGTTTTCACCACTGCCGCAATTTGCGAGTCTGGCGCCATCACCAGTTCCGCGGACAGCGAATCTCAACCAAAACCAGGATAACAGCCATCCGATCCACTTCGACCCTATGCTGAGTATGCCGACGCCATACGACCAGCAGCCGACCCCCGGTGCTGGAAGCACATCAGGCGCGTCAGTGCATACAGACCCTGACAGCAAGGATCCTTTCCTCAGCTTGCTCGAGCAACTTGCCGAAAACGAAGTCAGCAGAGGCGGTCCGAGCGAGCTAGACTTCTTCTTGAGTGGACAGAGTACCTGAAATTGCTCATCTTTCTCGCCGAGTTCGAGACGCTGCAGTATGCACTCCCGCAATATCATAACGGAGCACCGGAACGAACGTGCCACGATCATCACATGGATTTAAATTTGGACTTGTCTTCATTTCACAGTACATTTTGTAATAGCTTTGAGAGCTATCATTTAGGGCCCATCATTGACCAGCTTGGTCCGGTCCAGGGGTTTCTCAACTAAAACCAGTGCGGCGTAAAACAGGAGGACTTGGAGCACAGAGAGGCTTGCTTCACAGCCTCGTGTCTACGGTGAACGAATGTCACGGCCGCTATATGTAAACTTGTATAATATTATTGACCGCAAATGAGCCAGCGCTCTCAAGACACCAGTCGGCAGTAGCAATTGCCGCCAGCTCCACACTATTCAGACAATCGTCAAACAAGTTCCACCGCTCTACAGACAAGGTACCGCTACTCTACTTAGACGCCCACACCAAAGCTTTGGGGTCGGCTCCGACGTGGAGGCCCGTATCGAACGCGCTTTGTGTCATGGTGGGGAGCGGCCTCGGTGCCTTTATCAGAAGCTCAGCCGCTAGGGTGCGGAAGCACACCGCTTCGAGTCAATGTGCATAGCGACGGCTTGATGTTCGCGTTGACGCTAAATAGACCCCGGTTCGATGCGCATTAGCGGCATATCTCGCATATGAATAACCCGGGGTCCGGCGGTATCATGGGGGAGACCCCGGGAACTCCAGACGCTGGTACATCAGGGACCTGCCTTGCTTGGGTGAGATGGACATGAATAGTATGAGATTCAAACACACCTCCTTTCTAATTGTCTAGAACATCGATCAACACGGAGCGGTCAGTCCGTAGCATGATTCTGGACACTCGGCGCAGGCACGAGGTGTCAGTGCGATGCAGGTCATCGCTGTATTGGCGCCCCCTCCGCCGCGCTACAGCACAGCAACGATAGAGTCTCCACACTGTGGCTTGCAACGGTGTGTGCGCAAGTGTGGAGGGACACAGTGAGCGAATCCGGGGAGCATTCAATTTTCCTTGACATTAACGCGGAGAATGCGCCTCCGTTGCCCTAAATCGCGTGCTAAAAAAGAAATAACGTTTAGGTGTGGTTCATCGTCGTCACCAACAGCGATCTTCTGGAAGCCACAAACGCCAGTCGGCATGGGTATGAAGAAGGGCGTTCACGCCACACAAGGGAGCAGCCAGGGACCAGGTTTTCGGCTGAACTCTAAGTGGTGGGATGGAGATTCTCCGTTTCACAGCATATCGACATCTACTGCAGGGTCCATTAACGAACAACAATAATGATTATGTTGTAACATCAGCAAAACTCGTTCTCGATCACAAGACGGAATTCGTTTTGTGCTTAGAAGGGTGTGCAGGGCATGTCAGTAGCTCAGGTTGCAATAGGTTACATATGTGGGTCCAGCTGGTGCCGGTGGTAATGCACGTTGAAGACTGCATAGCATATCAGATGATAGACTGGCAGCCACCCCGCGAAATACCCCAAGCGAACGCGGGGAGGACCCGTTGGTTCTTTCCTGTCAATGCAGGGCAGGCAGGGCGGCGTGGGCGGTAAATATGACGGGAAATGAGCGTGTGATGAGAATTGGCAGACTTGCATGATAAAAGACAACCAATCAAGCAATAAGGTGACCAGCGGCATGCTCCTTTACTTTGTCCGTTCTATCGCCATTTCCACAAAGTAGATCACGGTCATGAAGTAATGATGTTGAAATACACGCAGCATATTCAACACCCGGTTCCCAGGAACGGCGCATACTAGATCGCGAGAACCTGACCTATATCACACCTCGTTATCATGCTCATCCATCACCACGAGGGATAACGCAAACGATATGATGATCGACTATGATCATCCCTTCTTCCCATTTCTCGGTAAGCGATACGACAATACGTAGTCACAGTCAGTCCATTGCTTTTTACTCGTTTTAACTCATTCTGACACACCTACACATACTCAAAGTCCGGGGTACATGCACGTGTAGACACACGGGTACACGTAAAAAGCATCGAAGGTATATGAATTGGAATCTCATATGTACCACGTACACGCAATACCAAGAGCGACCTCGGGAGAGACGAGACCCTAAACCAAACTCAACCATACCCTGCAATGCCCTGCATGTACATTGCAACATGCATCGGTCAGATAAGCCGTCGCGAAGCCACCGGCTACAGCAACCAAGAAGACGCGCAATAGAGCCCTTTTGCTATGTTTTTCTAGCTAAAACCCCAAAACTAACAGATGTCGTATCATATATGCATTAGTTTGACAATGACGGTTAGACCCTTCCCATGCTAGTAGGGCAGGTACGTACCAATATCTTGTGCCTTGAGTATGGGTATTGTTCGGAATGGTGGGGGAATAAGCTCTACTCCAAGACCTTGCAGCTGCAGGGTTACTGTCGGAAGGGTCATTGAGCCCCGAGGGATGGGAGGGAAATCGACTGGATGTATCGCAACATTTGAGAGAACATGTTGCGCTGTAATTGTGTGGCAAAGTGGTTGAGCATAAGCTTTGCACACGAAGAAGATGTTTGGAAGCATAAGTATCAGTATGGGTATGCACAGCCATGAACAACGATTACTACCATTTCTCTGATCTTTGCCAATATAGTCTATCTCTCCTAATCTATACACTGTCACAAGTGAGACAAGTGCACGAGATGCCAATTGACCTAAGTCATGGTGACGAGTTCCTCGGCCGACACGGGGTGGATAGCCTGTGAAAAGAAGCACATGTTAGCATCCATGTCATCAAACGCCTAACGCAGAATGCCGTTCCTTTCCCCCGCAAACGTGGCTGATGCTGCAGTCGATAACCGAAGCACTGCCGCATATGCATCCAGGGACGCACGACAAAACGGGGTAGGAAGATTGGGGGAGTACTTACCACACAGTTGTCGAAGTCCTTCTTGGTGGCACCCATCTTGATTGCCACACCGAATCCTTGCAGAATCTCGCTGCTTCCTTGGCCTAGGATGTGCAGACCGACGACCTTTTCATTCTCACCTGCGCAGATGATCTTGTATGCTGTCGGTTGCTTCTCTTCAGGGTCCATCATAGCGAAGTACATGGCCTTGAACTCAGTCTTATAGATCTTGATCTTGTCGCCGTATTTTTCGCGGGCCTCAGGCTCAGTCAGACCGATAGATCCGATCTCTGGGTGGGCGAAAACAACGGAGGGGATGTTCTCATATTCGAGGTGAGCTTTGGGTTGGTTGTTGAATAGACGGTCTGAGAGGCGTCGGCCAGCAGCGATGGCAACTGGGGTAAGTTCGAAGCCACGGTCACAGACGTCACCGATAGCGTAGATGTTGGGGATGGAAGTGTTTTGGTACTCATCGGTCACGATATGGTTCTTATCGTTGAGCTTGATGCCAAAGTCCTTGATCTTGAGATCCTCGATTTCGGGGTCGCGGCCAGTCGCGAACAGCACCTCTTCGACCTCGACAGTGGATTCATTCTTTGTCTCGTTGTTCTGGTAGGTCACACGCTTCATGCCGTTGCCGATATCCTCTACCTTGGTAATCTGGGTACCCTTGTATAGGTTGATGCCTTGACGTTCGTACTCCTGGGTTACAGTGTCTTGAATCATGGGATCAAACGTTCGGAGGAGCTTGTCGCCGCGGATGAAGAAGTGTGTTTTGGAGCCGAGTGCGTGAAGCATGCCAGTCATCTCAACACCAATGTACCCTGCGCCGCTAGTTGCGATGCTCTTGGGTTGCTTCTCGAGGTCGAAGAATCCATCGCTGCTAATGCAGAGTTCCTTTCCAGGAATGTCGGGTAGCTTCGGTCTTCCACCGGTTGCGATGAGTATGTGCTTTGCTTTGATGCGCTGCGAGCCTCCGTCATGGAGCGCAACCTCAACCTCGTCCTTCGCGACGAACTTGGCCCGACCTCTCAGATGCTCAATCTCGTCCTTGTTCAAGTTGTTCTCGTAGATGCCATTCAGTCGCTTGACGTAGTCGTCGCGCTTCTTCTTGAAGTAGGGCCAGTCAAAGTCGGGGACCCCACCAACCTTGAAGCCGTATGCCTTTGCGTCTTTGAAGGTCTCGGCAATCGCAGCCGCGTTCCAGGTGACTTTCTTCGGCACGCAGCCGACGTTCACACAAGTACCGCCGTATCTTGACGATTCGATTGCGATGACTTTTGCACCGTGTTTGGCAGCTCGTCGGCCGGAGGCAATACCTCCACTGCCAATTCCGATTACTAAGTAATCGCATTCCTTGGTCTGCGACGACATCCTGATGCCTGATGTAGAGAAATGAGATGCGAGGTTTGACAAACGTGCGGATGCCACTGCGGTTTGTGAAAGGCGGAAGTGCGGTCGGAGCAGTGAGGTTTGTCCTGGAGATGGAGGGGTAATGGTACGAAGACTCGTCGATAGAGCTCGCAGTCTAAAGGTCGCTGTTCTTTGCATTAAAGATGCAGCGGGACAACGGCAGATACTTATAGAATACGTCAGAGCACCTAGCTTCCAAATCTACTACTGCAGTCAGAGACTGGATTGGACGATTTGGTAATCCAATGGTGCAGGTGCAGTATGCAGTAAAGCTGCTTGCTGTACAGGCCAGATGTTCCAGAATAGAAGCGATGGAAGGTCAAACAGGGCCCTGCAATTGTCACGCAATGCCTTCTAGATGGCCGATGTATGCCGCTTGGTAATATGGGAAATAAGATTTTGCGATTAGGGAAGCAGCCGGCGATGACGCGACCTCGGTTTGCGGACATGTCGGAGGTGCTTTCGCGCTAACCGCTTGTGATAGCTACTTGGTCGATTACCTCATGGCTTCTAGACCTCCCCCCAGGCGCCCACTTGCGACACAGGACTCGACTAGGCAAGCAACTGTATGTCAGTCAAGTGAATTGAGCCTGCCTTAACGGATGCTGGTTGGGAAACATGCCAGCACATGATAGCAGTTCAAACTTTCCCGGATCCTGAATCCTGAAGCAAACACGGCAATCACCGAAGATATCACACCATCCCCACCACCGACATTGACACTCCTGACTTTAGCTACTTTCATCATGGGCGGCAGACTTTCTATGCCCAAGGCTGCCGATGGCATGAGCGAGACGTCCAAGCCAACTTCGGCAAATGCAGCAGCGCGCCTTACGAGGGGTCGTGGTATTATCAATGGCCGGGTACGAAATGTGTTTCCGAGCTTGTCAGTGTTGACATCAGCTAATGCTTCCCAGACCATAATGGCACCCCTTGCAGCCCTCACTATGGCTGGTCTTCTCTTCGTATACGCCCGAACATCGATACGAGCAGCGAAATTGAACGCCAAAAGACACCGAGAAGCAGATGGCGGGCAGATTAGCTGGCACAAGGAGAGTATGAGGCGTCACGGTCAGATAGAGAGGCTAGACGATGATAAAGGAACCTTCAGCGAAGCCCTCATGGGAGACATTCGCAAGAAGAAACAGCGAAAGGTCGACGAGAACCAAAAGGTGCCAGTTGAAAGGTCCGACAACGATGCCGAACTGAGGAAGATTATGGGAAAGAAAGACTGAGATCTGAAAGTGTGGCAAGGCTGTAGGTGATGGCAATGCCAAAGCAGTTCGCTGTATGATTGAAGGAAGGTACAAAAGTTACTCAGCGAGAGATAATTTTATCATGCGAAATTCACAAATCTATGAACAAGGCCGCTTCCTCGGAGCCGTGCCTAGTATGTGGACTGGATCGGAAGATTGTTACCACAAAGACGATGCTTGTTTGGATCTACTATGGCTGTGAAGCTGGAAAAGCATGTACCATGGTCCGCGGCCGGTAGCCTCGTGTCACACGCACTCTGCGCCAGCTTGAACTTGACTGTAGTTTGTTCGACCTCGGATAGTGAAGGCGGAGCTGTAGCGACAGAGAAGGCCATAGTAACACAGCATGTCGTCGTATACATGATGCATGACGGAACAGGTCTAATCAGGTGCCGTAACTGCCATATAGATGTTCTGTGATTTGCCGGAGCAACAGACATGGATGGTGTTAAGCTTCACATGTGAGCAAACCCCGCATCCAGCTGTGGTAGCTTCCCAGGGTGCGCCATACCACGAGCTGTGGGCGAGTGGCGGGAAGCACGATTCGAGAGCAAAGTCATGTGTTGGTATGTGAAGACGCTGATCGATTCGCATGTGTTGGATGCGGGATATTGAGGCACGTTGAGCCAGATTCAAGTGCAGCTCGTTGCGTCGATCGCCCCCCCTGCAGCCAATGGCTTCATTCTTCCGTGGCCGTTAGACTGTTTCGGGGGTGCGAGTTGCACAAAGCGTGAGCTTAACCCCACCATTCCACCACGACGCTCCGCATCCATACACATTCGCCAACATCAGCCATTGTCGCCCGAGCTGCTCTCGACCACAAACCTCGACGCTTGACGCCAATCGCGCACACCCGTTGCATCCATCGAGCCGGACATCGCCGCGGCCTTCATGGAGCTTGCCTGGCTGCTGGCCCGATCGCGATTGCCGTAGGAAGACTGCAGCGTCTTCCACAGCTAGCGATAGCCAGTATGCCTAAGCAGGAGGAGGGGAGGCCAAATGTACAACAGGAGATTCCAAATAGACCCAGAAATCTGACCGAGGTTTCAAGAGCCGTCCTGCGTAGTGAGCAGGCAAAGCGATGGACCAAGAAGTACCGCACCGAGGTCGCTGCAAGCTCCAGCAGTCTGCTATCTACATTTGCCGCAGTACGTGGGCCTGTATACAGTCCAACATCACCGACCTCGTGATTGCTGATAGCTTCCAGTATCCTCTGGACTCAGTCAAGACCCGACTACAAGCGTACGCCAGACACCCAACATCGCCTACACCACGGCTAACATCGCATAGCTACAAGTTCAACTCCTTTGCCGACTGCGTTCGCCACACCTACAAGACTGAGGGCTTTCACGGCTTCTACCGTGGTAAGCTTCGCCCTTCACAGCTGCGCATCCATCACATGCTAATGTACGCGTCATAGGTGTCTGGTCTCCTCTCGCAAGCATAACCCTCGTCCGTACCGTGTCGTTCTCCATCTACCAACGATCCAAGTACGCGCTCGATAATTGGATTTACCAGACCACCGGAACTTCACCGCTCGTTATTGCGAACACCCGAGATGCATGGCCCACGTTTTCAACCATTGCATGCTTTGGCCTGGCAGGCGTCAATGCCGGCGCTGCTATCACAGTCATCGCATGTACGAGATGGCTGTTGCTTTTCACATGGGTATCTGGCTAATCTCGTCCAGGTCCTTTCGAACTGACGAAACTGAGCGCTCAAATCTCCGTACTAATGGCTGAGCGCAACGACGGCGGCGGCAAGAACGAAGCAGTACGTAAAAGCTACCAGAATTTGGGAACCTGGAAGACGGCGCAAAATCTGGTTAAACATCGGGGTTGGACAGGGCTATACTCCGGATTCCACTTGCATCTACGTAAGCGAACCGCAACAATACAGAAGCCATGCAAGTGCTGATGAAATATAGTTCGAGATTCCATCGGCACCGGCATCTACTTTGTAACATACGAAAGTGTGAAACAGGTCTTGGCGAATGCGCGCGGCACCTCACCAACACATCCACTGGCTGTAGTAGTAGCTGGCGGACTCTGTGGACTCGTCAGCTGGGCATGCGTATGATTCTAAACCCTAACGGTCATTCTCGACGTACTGACAACCCTGGTAGATTTTTCCAATAGATACAGCGAAGAGTATCTACCAGCGAAACTGTCTCGTGGGGGGAAAAGACAAGGCAACGCGTCCGAAGATCCATTTCTTTAGTCGTCGGATGTATCGAGGTGAACATACCTGTCCACACTCTCTGGGATTCAATACTAACTTGACTCAGGCCTTGGTGTTTCCATGTCTCGCTCCTGCATAGTCAACGCGATTTTCTTTACTGCATTCGAGTTCACCAAGAAGCGCATCAACGGCATGTCTTACGACGAGGAGCTTCTTCGCGCGAATGACTTGTGATCGAGTCGACATTCACGTGCTTTGTATCTCTGTATCTGCATAGGGGCATGGAGTAGGCGCATATTTTGCTTATATCGGAGCGGATATGTAAACTATCCTGGATCCGAGTATGTCACAATGAGCACAGCAATCATCAAGGCACGCATGTGCAGCATCCGGTCTTGATATCAGTCTCTATTTTCATCGCCGGCTTACTGTATAGGCGTGACATCCAACGTTCTCCAGAGTGGAGATGCCTTCCCCTGTCTCTTGCCCCGAATGGTGTCTAGGGTGCTCTGAAAAAGCTTACCCTTCTTTGTTACTGAACACCTTAGATCCCATCGCCAATTAACATCATAGCAATATTCTTGCTAGCGTCTCTGAAATCAATATTACCGAAGCAAGCGAATCCAAATGTGCACCTTGTGTCTTTGTAGGCGCGATAGAGGTGACAAATTGACAATGGTGCAGGCTCTAATAAGAGGAAGAGAGCGGGCGATGATGCAAAGACTTGAAGGACATAGCTTCTAAAACACCTGGGCAAGCTCAGGGCTTAGAGTGTAGATGGATGAACAAGCAGAAAGACAAACACAGCGACCCTACTTGTAGTTAGCTTCTTTTGCTTTCGCCATAAGACACGGAAGCTGTTCGGTTGATTTTTTGCAAATACAAGTATCGCAGCTTCTATCTTTGTCTTTAGATATCTACCACAACAATACACTATCTTCTCTGCTCAACACAGGAAGTAAGAGCTAGCAGGATATTCATACCACTATCTACCCAGCCTCGCTTTTTCCCTTCAAATCTAGCTCGAGAACGAATAACCACTAGCCTTCGACTCCCACTAGGTCTCTCATTCGCGTACCTTCAACGATCACTATCTCGCCCTACTGCCAGTGGAGTCAATATGACCAGCCGAGTATATTCCGGGACGTGCACTAGAGCAGAACTATAGGTCTCCATACTAAGCTGCTGTGCTATTGCTGATCAGCATAGCCATATCCTACGCAGGAGCTGATATCAGTCTCAAACACTAAGGGGATTAGGGCCTTCACTGTCCTCTGTCTCTTGCTCACCATGCATACCCTCGATTTCGCTTGTATCTCTCTAAACAAGAGTGTTCGTGCTGTTCAGCTAGGCGACATATCCATTGTCGATATGCAAGTCTTCACGAATTGGCTTCAGATGAAGTACTCCTAGCACCCGGACACTAGCGTCCATCATTGGTCCGAATCTTTTAATGACCCCTGACTTTTCGATCGAGAGGAGACGAGCCTGTGCGCTAAAGAAGTGAAAACTTCAACATTCTTCGTCTTCGTTAAGACGCCACTCATCGAATGCTCTCGGGCCACAATAGATAGCGCAAAGACATGTGCACTGACACCTTTTTTTGTCCATTTCTAGCGTTAGAAGAGCGTACAAGCACACTAGAGAAAGCAATATGCCGCGAAAAGTACTCGTCGATAGGTGGTGCAAGTTCGAAGACATACATAAGGCGCAGGATCGAACGCTACTGAATGTACTATCTTCAAGTCTTTCTGATGGGTGCTTAGATCAACATGAAGCGCAGGGTGGTGATGGGTATGGCAACATCGAAGTCTGGGATGGGCATGAGAAACAAGGTTGCATCATTCGAGTTTCTGAGGCAGATAGCGACGGTTACAACCAATTGAAAAGGTGAGTCATGGCAAAGGCTAGCGGACATAAAGAACTGGAAGGACGGCGATGTGTACACGCTAGTGCGATGCTGGGCCCTGCACTATAAGACATTGAGGACAGTAAGCAAAGGTGTTTAGGGTAACCCTAGGCTTACATCTCGGAATCGTAAAACGTTAGTGGGTGATCTGGACGACAGAATTGTGTCGACGTATCACATGCACCATATTTCTGGTCCAAGGCCATGCACCAATGGATCATCGTTCTCGAAATGTTGTCGCAGCCGAAGTAATTCTGTTCCGCGACATCACATCATGTGTCCGTTCTTTGCACTTTTCGAAGTATTCATTGACCTGCCGACCTAACATATCTCATGACGCCGTCTTTGTTCTTCCGGGAGGGCCCGTATGCAAGTCGTGTCACCGAATAGTCGTGACTGTCCCACCCCAGCAATGGGAATATGCCCGCTGATGAATCCGTTTTGCAACCCCGAGAAAGGCAAATGTCGAAGAAAGGAAGGGAAACGAGACGCTTAGTCGAAGAGACCGAAGCCCATGTCCTCGTCCGACTCCTCCTTCTCTGTTGTGTGTTAGTCTCGGTTCCTTGCACAAAAAGCGTGTGATAAACATACCCTCCTCCTTCTTCTCCTCAGCAGCTGGTGCGGCATCAGCAGCACCGCCAGCGGCAGGAGCAGCGCCTCCGGCAGCGGGGGCAGCACCGCCGCCTGAGCCGACGTTCAGTAGCAGGTCCTTGACATCCTTGCCCTCAAGAGCCTATTCACATATCAATTTCGTGTTCGGAATTCTAGCGTGTTCGTGTGTGCGCACCTTGGCGAACAGGGTCGTCCAGATGGGCTCGACCTCCTCGATCTTTGCGGCCTTGATGAGGGATTGTAGCTTGTCGGCCTGTTCAAATTAGCCAATGTGTCCGCGGTTGCGAATGGCACCTCGGGAGTCGTACAGTGATGTCGACACCGTCATCAGCGAGGATGAGAGCGGCGTAAGAGGTGGCGAGCTCGGAGGTAGACATTGCGACGGTTGTGATCGTGATACTGTCGGGAGTCGAGATGTTGAGAGTTTCGGCGCTGGTGAATTGAATTGATGGTGTGGAAGGCGCTAACCGTGGCTTTCGCTTAGCGATGTCTAGCTGGTTTGGGAGCTAGCGCATTCTTGCGGTTGCCCCTCGGTGACGTCCGAGCACTTTCCCCGCTATCAAGCTGCGTCTTGGCTTCCCGACCGGCCACTTCCAAGTTTCGCATATCGCAGAGTTGCAGCTTTCACCACCGTTCGGATTAGCCTCAACCCCACCAAAAGATCTCCCCATTTGTTGCCGATCCGCGTCTGCAGCACACGATGACCGACTCCCCACTCCCGCGGATCCCGCTGGATCCGAAAGAGCAGCCCATCCTCGACAAGCTGCAGTCTATACGGACGGAGCTTGAACTATTGAAGCGTGATCGGTCAACTTATGTCAAGAGCCAAGATGTCTTGAAATTGTACGACCAAGTCATCGAGCAGGTTATGATCCTCAATGAGATACGCGAAACCAAGCGTCTGGAGCAGAACAAAGGTATGTCACGTTGCCACCTGCCCGATGGAGGTTGCTGTTACTGACATGGTTACATAGTTGATTACATGCTCGACGACTGCTTTCAGCTCATTTCACTTGCCTATCTGACCGTCGGAAAAAACCATGAGCCACCGGCAGTGTTAGTTTTCAATCATATTATGTATTACTACGATTCAGCTGACACTGTTGTTAAGATACTCCTACATCTCAACGATCAAGGTATATATGCATGCCGGAGCTTTATGTACGTTCCTGACATCAAACAGCGCTTACTAGATCACCTCAAAGAAGCAACCTTCTATTCGCAAAAGGACCTGGAAGCACTCGACAAGAACCTACAAGATTGCCGACGATATGTTGAGAGAGGTCGAGAAGAATACAGCCCTCATCTACTGACCCTGCTTGACGCCCGCATCAAAGTTTGCGAAGAGACTCTAGCAGAACTGAAGCTCAACTTGTCTGAGCTCACACCCGAGCTGACACCGAAATGGGAGAAGCTGGTTTCAATACTAAGATCACTCTGCGGCTGTAACGCAAGATCCAAGGTCAGTAGAGTCATGGCGATTTCATAACGCATGCTAACTAGGAACCTAGTTCCCACATGATGAAGTTGAGGAGTACTCAGAGGAGCTTAACAAACTTGACGAGGAATTAAAAGAGTACGGCATTCGTGCATATGAGACAGAAGGAACTACTGAGGAGAAGCTGGCCGAAATGGTCGACAAAATGCAACTCGCCACCGAACACCCTGAGCCGGCGCCAGACGCCAAGACACTTATTGGCACCCTGCTACGGCGCAATCTGCTATGGGTCACGTTGATCAAGCAAAAGTTGGTTCCATTCATGATCCCTACGAGTCCAGCTAACGTACGGACAGGCAAGGACGTATTGCGCCCGCTTTCAAGGATACCTACGATAAACTTCTCTCAATACGAAACAAGCTCGAAAAGCTTACCCTAACTCAGGCATGGTCTCTTCGTGAGACGGATCTTTGGGATTTTCAGCGACAGCTTGATCGTATAGACGAAGCCCGAGTTGATGGTAACTTTGTCGATGCGCTTGGACGGCCATCGGAGATTTACGAGCAGAGAGTATGCTTCTGTAGATTCAAATGTGAAGACCCACTAACAAGCTACAGACATTGTTGTACCTTCTCCGAAAGAGCTACGCTCTCATTTACCAACTGCTCTTGACATCCGAGCCTGTATCTGAGGCTCTACTGCCGATTTACAATCAACTAACTACACTCCGAAAATGTCTGCTTGAAGTCAAAAAGTTGGGAGGTGTATCTTCACCAAGGGAGCTGTACCCCTACAGTATGAAAGTTCGTGCACCACGTCATCGAAACACTGTCACGTCTGCTGACTCGAATATAGTTGAATTCCATTGACAACATGCGAGTAGACGGCAAGTTCATGGTGGGCGACGAGATACCTGATGGCCAAGGTCGAGTGACGCAGCTTCTGGAGGAATGCTTCGAGCTCGCATACGACCTGAGAAACGACGCCGAAGACAACAACAGCTCTGCTGAGGTTACACCGTCGACAGAAAAGCCTGAGCCTCTCAGCACATGATATGTCCTCATCCTTCTATCGGCACTGTACATGTTGGCGTAAATGATTAACCTCGCACTCAGTACCCGCATCTCCCCCAAATTTCTGTCTCATTCCGGTAGGCGTCTTGTATTGCAGTAAACGATTCTGCGACCTCTGTACTTTCTGTACCTCCAAAGATTACTTAATAAGGCTCAATCATTCGAAGCTGTTCAATTTCGTCTTCCGGTGGCGTTGGGGGTGTAGCATCTGCGTCTTTGAAGGTCAGATGACTTCCGTATGATATGCCTGCATTTGTTAGCGCAACCGTCTATCAATTTCAGCTCTTTCACTTACACAGCTCTTCGCCTGCGGGAATATCTCTCAATGCTCGGTATGTAATAATTTGGCGTTGAGCATCACGCATCCATCCCACGTTTTGTTCTTGGGTAGAGTGGTTGAACATGCTTCCCAATCCGAATATGACGGCCTGGGCGACTTTGCTATTGCCATTGTTGTCTACGATTGGCCAATTGCTGGGATGAGTTAGGTTTCTCATACTTGCAATATCTCTAATCCCATTTCCAATAGATGCATCGATTAGTCATGTCGATGCTATTAAGACGCGACTAGTGCAACTGTCTGAAGTAATGAGCAGAAAGGCTGGGGGAAACTGAGTGTATGTATGTCTGTGAGAAAAAACATTGCCTGCTATGGGAGATTACATACTAGGTGTAATGATAAAGCGAGGTGTTTTCTATGTGCGTTTTGTTTTCTTCTATTCCTAAAATCAATACTGGGCATATGTCTATGATCGTCCGCGCTGGTATGTCTTTGGTAGCGAACACACCACGCCCTGTATACAATGTCAGTTGTTTACAACAAACGCGATGTCTGAGAGAACGGACCTTTTGGTGTATCAACCTTGATAGCGATGTCTGGACATCGTTGAAGCGGGATATCGTCTGATGATGCCTTGACACCCATAACAATTAGAAAAATCCTGGTACGTTGCAAAGTGATGGGATTGGATTCAAGTGTATAAACAAGTAAACATCTCAACACAGTTCGATTCCTACATCACTTCTGGTAATCGAATCACAAAATTTTGTAAACGCGCTAATTCCGCGGTCCGAAGGCTTGGACCCAGGTGCGGTTTACGCCCCACTCAAGCTTCCGCTCACGCTGGCCGCTTTCGTCACAAGTCCTTGCGACACGACGGTTGTCAATATGGCTCAGCAACGAGGGCAGGCGATGGGAGACACTCTCAAGACTGCGCACTCTGTCAGTCTGAAGGTTCTGCGGTATGTTGTCGATTTTCCAGCACAGCCTGGGCACACCGGCCCATGACGAAACCGATGCTTGCATCATCTTACATGGAGGTTGATAGCGGCTCGTCTACCTCATCGTTTACTACGACTGCCAGTCAAATACACAGCTGGCAAACTAACGATATTGATAGATTGTCTCGACCATCCCTTGCGGTGCAGCACCCTCTCCCGAACTCTAGAGATCTAGGCATATCTCCCAAAGCCTCACTCGCCTATCCCACGCTGGATGACGCAAACGATCAATTTGTCCTGAGTCCTGTGCTAAATCTCCCTGAAGCATTCGGGAGCGCCTATGTTGGCGAGACCTTCTCCTGTACACTATGCGCGAACAACGAGCTCGATCCAGCCGACAACACAAAAGCGATTAGTGGCGTGCGGATACAGGGTGATATGCAGACGCCCTCGAACCCTACAGGCTCACCATTGGATCTGTCTGGCTTGCAAGGAGAGGTGGAAAACGCGTCTCCAGGACCAGCCGAATCACTACAACGTATCCTAAGATTTGAACTTAAGGAAGAGGGCAATCATGTCCTGGCAGTCACTGTCACATATACGGAGACGGCCTTAGGAGAAGGGAGGGCAGCGTCAGGAAGAGTTCGGACGTTCCGCAAACTGTATCAGTTCGTGGCCCAACAGTTGCTGAGCGTTCGCACAAAAGCCGGAGAGATGGGCCCAAAGAACGGATGTTCACGATACCTTCTAGAAGCACAATTGGAGAACATGGGAGAAGCTGCTGTGTGTCTAGAGGTACGTCAGCGATTTCAAAATATCACGATTCATGTTCCGGTACTATTCATTTATTCCAAACAACGAGTCAGGCCGTGTGGCTTTGACTTGAGGATTTCGGCTCCATCACTAGCTCGATCGCAGAGTCCGATCCGGTAGTGGTGTAGATCCGGCGCTATTTCGCTGCTTCAGAAAGCCTACCACAACAACCATAGCCCTAGTAGGCATCAAACCACCACTGACTCCCGATAGGCAGTCAATGTAAACCCGAAACCACCTCTCAGATCGACACAACTTAATTGGGATATGCAACCTTCAGGTCCCAGTGCGCCGATACTGAGCCCACGGGACGTGGTGCAGGTAGCTTTTCTTCTTGATCACCAGCCTAGCGATAACGACGAAGACATGACAGACTCCATTACGGAAGACAACAAGAGAGTGTTAGGCCAGCTTGCTATTCAATGGCGAAGTGCATTGGGCGACAGAGGCTCTCTCAGTACTGGATGGCTTACGGCTCGACGCTGAGGGAGTCTACAATAAAGTTTGCATGGCCCTGTCTAACGTCGCTAGGGATTGTATATCTCCGACCGAAGGTTCTGGCGCCGGTACCTGCAGTTCCAAGCGCTTGGTCTGGCAGTATCGAACTAGCCTTGCACTTGCTGAAGCCACCTGGACATTCGGAACCTGCTCCGTGCGTGATGTCAACATGAGTCAAGTGGTCCAAACAACATCGCCGAATAGTGAAAAGTAAACTTTGGACTATATTTATATGCGTACCACAGCATGTTTGTCTGCCACCGGCTATATACATGTCCGTGACAGAGGTGTGGGGATTTGCGAGGAATCTGTTGGTAGTTTGTAATAACGATCCACCTCTAGAGTGATTTTCCACAGTACATGGGTATTTCGAATAAGACAGCCGGAATGCGGAGGAGGATCTCTTGAATGATCGCCAGGCGAAGCGGATGGAAAAGCAAGGGCAGCGTCGATGATCAAGCCATCGATTTCGTCAGAACCACGGGAACAATTCTCCTAGGAAAGCAATTATAGACTTGCAGCATTGACCTCCAATGCAACAAGCAGATGGAGCGATAAAGCGATCATCTCTGATGAAGTCCGACAAGGCCGATGGGGAATCAACATGAGAATTTGGTGAAGCACGGCAGAGAGGGCAGGGTACCCCAGACGCTGTCACTAATCCTGGTACGACGAGTCGACAGACACGGGAACTGGACATGACAATCTCACGAACTGCTCGAGGGTCGGGCGATCGCAGAGGTGTCATCTTATCTCGGTCAAATGTGGGCTTTTGATATGTTTGATCATCACGCCACCAAGTATGCATTCAATTGTGAGATACGAAAGTTGGGAGAGCACTGACTGACTTGTTCGAGGTGGCTGCAGCTGTCAGATTAAACGCGCTCGCACAAGCAGTGACGGTTGAGGACTTTGTGTCGGAATCGGCTATCCACAGCGGGATCGACATGTGCATATCCTACCTATGTCTCTGGCTAGACGGATGCGCAGCTCGAGCACGGTAGTTAAGTCATATGCGGCACCATGTCCCGTAGGAAGACATGCACCGTTTTGTACAGTCGGGCAAGCAGAGTTGAAACGGCAACGGTTTAGATGGTGGTCAGAGCATACGATGCCGGGCTGGCGTACGGCAGCTATCTATGCACATGCATGGCGAGACGAGGCAAGGCAAGACAAGACAAGGCATGGCGGCGATTGTAAGAGTGTTTGTTGGCAATGAGGAGTGCAGCATGCTGTTGACAGGTACAGTAGATGATGCCATGGGCGTTTAGAGAAATGTTCGGCCGTTTGCAGGTGGTTGTGGGGCATTTGAATTTCTTTGTTTCGGAGGTTGAAGATGTGCAGTGCAGGCAATTGACCGTAATATGGGCTCTTATAGGGTACACAGCATGTGTGCCCCTATGCCTGGGCAGAGTGCGATGCCGTGTACGCGTGCTGTACGCCGAAGGTGAAACACATGCAAATTGGACGCACACCACCAGTGTTTGTGGCCTAATAACAGTCGTGTTGGTCGCCAGCAGCCATTTGACGACCCCTGAACGCGCAATGCTGCCATGCCGACAGCCAGTGCGTGGCCCGCAGCCAATCCCACTTCAGCCCTCTGCCAATCGCGCGCCGTCCCAAAGCGGATAGGCCCCAGGCCGTGCCTTCCCAATCCATGCGCAGCCCCCTGGTCGTGCTTTTCGAGGACAGGGTCTAACAGGGCGACATGGGACGACGGCACAGCGACGGATATGCCTGTGCTGGATGCAGCATGTCCATGGGGCGCGAGGGCGAGAGTACCACGGATGGCGACATTGGATCCAAACGCTGGGCGCAAATACACTTTGGAGTGCGCGGGTGCCTTGCATCGTCGGCCTCGCCTCTCCGCCGGCAACGCTGACAGGTCGAGCTTGTTGCGAGGTGCAGCAGTCCGGTCCAGGCCGAGGGGCAGTCGACGCGGGAGCTGTTAAGCGCTAGACTGTCTTCTGCGAGCGATAAGAGCGCAAGCGGGTGTGAGCCCTGCGACGAGGGTGCATGTGGGTTAGTTGCTCGAACAGGCCGGAGCCTGTCCATTTGAATCGCCTGTGACCGAGCGCAGTGTGCACTGAACCCTTCTCCGCCAACCCTCTCCCCATTCACTCTTTTCGCCCGCAAACAAGCAACAGCTGGCTATACAAGACGCTCTGCGACACCAGTTCGCGACCACTCTGCCCAGTCGCAGCTTCCGGCCAAGCTCCCCCGCTCGTTTCGCTGCCAGGCCGCCGCCCGTGCAACCGCTTTCTCTGTCCCCGTCGCACACGCTCTGCCTCTGCCGTGCATAAGCCGTACGCTGCCCCATCACAAACCACCGTTGGAGCTGGCGTCCAATCTCCAATGACCTAGAGACACACGCCGACTCGACGTCTTACACGCCGCGCCCGCGCACCCCACGACGCTCTTTGATTGCCCATCTTTTTTGGATATCCTATGCCCACGACCTAACATGGCGCCCGCTCCCTCGTCCACGGCCGACCAGTCGTCCACCCCGCTGGCCGACTATTTCTTCATATCTGGCATCGAGTCCTCGCAGGTCTACGACGAGCGCACCCAGAACAATGGCATAGTAACCTCGCCGCTTGCACAACCCCCGGTCGACGAGACCATCGAGGAGGACCGCGCCCTCGAGACAGACTCAAACCGCCCAACCTCCCAGGACGGCCTGTCCAATGCCGACACCACTCGACGGAGGTCTGCGAACCGATTCAGCGAAAACCGCCAGTCCAATGGTACAATCGTTGGCATTGGCTCCGATTCCAAGCAGACCGCAAGCAATCGTAGCAGCGCCACCATCAAGGGCCTGCAGCTTGGCGGCTCTGGCCTCAGCGACCAGGAATTCGACATTGCACTACGCAAGTTCGCTTCCGAGCGGGATACCTTTCTTGAGGAAATACAGTTTACTGCTGGTGTTGCCCAACAGGCCCGCTCCACCCCCACAAGGCCGCGTCCCAGACCACAGCGCGTGTCACAAGCCAACAATGACGACGGCGTTGGAAATCTCAGGTCCGGTGTTGGAAGTATCCGTCGCCGTATCTCCACCATGCAGAGCAGCCTGAAGCGCCAGTCGTCGACAGCGAGACAATGTAAGTCGCCTTCCTTATTTACGCCCGACCAGGATCTTTGCAGGGCTGGGCCTTGGACCTGACATGGGTCGTTTGCTTTTTCCTCGATCTTGACTGACGTGCATACAGCCTCAATTCGAACGTCGAAGCGCATGTCCGGGTACAACTCTGTCATACCAGCACCACAGCCCTTTCAGCCCGATCCAGACATGCATCCTCTTCTGCGTCGCTACGAGCCTGTGCTGCTGGACCGTTATCCACCCCGGAACATGGTCGAGGAACTTAAGAGGCGGAACCCATTTCCTGACTACGTGCCTATGTTTGCATTTCCCAACGATGTTAGTGTCGTCTCATCTGACGAGCGACCAAAGAGCCAATGGCATGGATTTGCCATGACCAACGGAGACGGCTCCAAACTTTATGGCATCTGCATCATCGTCTGGCTGCCACTGAATGCCACAGCTGCAGAGGGTCTTGAGCGCCAATGTGAAGAATGGAGAAACTTGCACATGAACCCAGAGGAGCGAGAATTGGCGAGCAGCTTGGGTGAACGTCTAGCATTGGAACGCGCGAAACTATCCCAACTCCTAACTAAGCTTCCATCCGTGGCTCCTGACTCCGAGGAGCGCGAAGACCTGGACGACCAGATTGGCGCTGTAGAAGAAAAAATCCAGTTGATGACCGATCTGCTTCGCCCAGTGAGGCATGGTGCAGCATCCAAGATCGAGGGTCTTACTGACGGAGACTCTGGACTCTGGATACCCCGTGCTTATGGTGTCATGGGTCGAGATGCGAGTCTAACGCCCTTCTGGAAGGAGTGGCTAAAGGCCGTCGTTGTCCCAATGACCACGGGTGCCATCCTCCGAGTCCCCGCCAGCTCACCGCGAGTAGGTATGTGGCAGCCGCTTGAGCGATACGTCGTCAATCTGTGTGCAGAGGCTCTTAGTCCGATCACCTCCATTACGCAAGTTGAACTAGCAGTTCGCGAGCTTCGCATGTACGCTCGAAAGGAGGCAGTCAACGAGCTCCCCGGCTCCCGAAACATCGATATCTATGCTCTCTTCCGATGCATGTCCATACCCAACATCATCACCTTGTTTGAGTATGTGCTCTCGGAAGCCAGAATCATTCTCCTTTCCTCTCACACGGCTATGCTACATTTGGCTAGTATGGCGATAACCAACCTACTGTATCCCTTCCAATGGGCTGGTGTCTTCATTCCTATTTTGCCTGCCCGTCTGGTACAGACGATAGAGGCGCCATGCCCATATATCGTGGGTATCGAGCGTCGTTATGAGCCCGCTGATTACCCTGACGACGACTATGTTCTCGTCGACCTGGATGCTGATTCAATAGTCTCCAACGGTCCCCCACCACCATCGCTTCCACGCCAACAGCGACGAAAGCTCATGTCTCTACTTCAGCAATCTGCGCCGCATCATATACGATACGGCGTGCCTACTGGACCGCCAGCTTATGCTGTAGAAGCTTTCCCGTACGACACGTTCGCCTCTGAGAACCCCGGTGTCTTCTCATACAGAGCACACCCTTCGACCGTCCAGAACTATGTCGGCCTAAATTCTACGTCTTTTGGAACTGTGGTCGGACCGCCTAGTTCCAGGCCTTTGATTTACAACGCATTCCTGCAGTCAAGTGCTTCGAGCCGTGGCAACGACCGACCATCCACAGCCACCACCATAAAGACGTACCAATCGCCGCCTTCGCCTAAGGTTTCCCCAGTCTCGACGGTCTTTCCACCCATGCCTAGTACCCCTATATCGCGAAGCGATTCTGGTTATGCTCTCCAAGCCAATCTTCGCGAGAAGCGATCCGCCCACTTCGAGACTTCAAGTCGGCGAAGTTCATCGGTAAGTTTGGCTTCACACCGTTCATTGTGGTAGTCCATTG